CAACCTCAACAGAATACAAGACCATAACACAAGGCACAGATCACTCTTTGATGTTCCTCGGTCCACTCACGCTATGCAAAAACTCAATGCACAAAAAAAGGCCCTAAAATCTGGAATTCATTACCTGAAAAATATAAAAAAACACTACCTGTTTATAAATTCAGTCTCTTCTCAAAGATCACTTACTCACTCAAAACCAAATAAATACTGAATAACTGAACCTTATAAATTGTATATCCTATATGTTACTCACAATTATATCACACAAATGTTAAACCTAGGACCCAATCTAACTTTATTATTTTTTTAAATACACTACCTAACAGAATACTCCATTCGCCTGAATGTACAGCAATGCAAGCAACCATATGACCTGTCTTTGTAATACTCATTTGTGCTTTATAGTTATCTGTTTACAATAATGTTTTATCACTGATTTCATCATTGCTTAGTTAATCTTAAGTTAATTTTAAGCCAGCCCGTAATGCTATGCATATAAGTGGCTTTGGCATGCTGCTCTTACCTGTATTTTTTGTACCTCTGTATGTATGCTTAAATAAATAAATAAAAAATGGGAGAAAAATCTGATTTGATCTAAGGAAGGAGGGAGTAGCTCCAATTTCTCAGGTCAAGAGCCTTTCACCAGGATCAAGACACCCACTTCTTTCCCTTGAAGGTGTAACTCGGGAAAATACATACTCTTAAAGTAAACTGCTTCATTTTTATCTGTTCATTGACAGATACTTTATATTTTTGTTTATAAACACTGTACATATACATTTTGGGAGACGGCCGACTTGTTGAAAAAAAAAAAAAAAAAAAAAAAAAAATATACATTTTTTTTTTTATTTTGGACTAAAGCTAACTCGGCAACCTAACCTTGCTAAGATTAATATAATAAAAGTTATCCAACCTATTTGAGATTAGTCTAAATTTAGCTAATAATATTTAAGAGCAAGAACATTACATTATTTTGATTTGTTTGGATTCATTTTAGCAGAGCTTATTGGTTCTTAATTCTGCAATATTTCCTTTCCAATCTACCATTTTGTCAAATGAGTGTGAAATGGAAGCAAGTTAATTTTTTGGCACTCTTGCAGAATTGATGATGTTCTCTTTGTCTCATGACCATCTAAGATTTATTTATTTATTTATTTATTAATTTGAACATGATACAGTGAAGTACAAAAAAATATAGTTAAATGCAGCATGCCAAAGCCACTTGAATGCATAGCATTACGGGCAGGCTTAAAATTAACTTAAGATTAACTAAGCAATGATATATTCAGTGGTACAAAAATTATTGTAAAACATAATAATTTAGTACAATGTATTTAAAAGACAGGTTATATGGTCATTACTGTTTTGCTGTGTATCAGTAAATGGAGTATTTGTTAGGTAAGAAGTTAAATAGTTAACAAAGTTTGATTGGGTCACAGGGGACATTATGAGATCCCAAATTTATGAGATACAATTATTCAGTATTTATTAGTTGTGGGTAAGTGATTTTTGAGAAGAGACCTTGAATTATAAAAACCCGACAGTGTTTCTTTTATATTTACAGGGATGAATTCCCAATTTTAGGGCCTTTTGTGTGCACTGAGTTTTGCATAACGTGCGATGACATAGGAACATCAAAGAGTGATCTGTGTCTTGTGTTATGGTCATGATTCTGTTGAGGTGGTAAGGGATGTTTGAGGGGAGGGTTTATGTCAAGTTAAGTGTTTCTATGTATGTAGTAGGGTGCAGTAATAAGTATGATGTTTTGTATTGTGAGTAGGTTTAGAGATTTGAATATTGGTGGAGTGTGCTGTCTGTAGTGGGAATTTGTTATCATTCTGACTGCAGCCTTTGTTGGGTGATTAGTGGACTGAGATGGTTTATTGTTGTTGAGCCCCATGCACAAATTCCATAGGTGAGATAGGGGTAAATAAGTGAGTGATATAGGGCCAGGAGGGCTGACTGTGGAACATAGTACAGTATCTTCGATAGTATGCCTACGGTCTTGGAAATTTTTGGGGAAATTTGTTGTATATGTGTTTGAAATTTGAGTCTATTATCAACGTGGATTCCTAGGAATTTTCCCTCTGTGAGTTTTGTGATAGGTGATCCATTTATCATTATGTTAAGAGACACATCTGCAGCTCTGTTACCAAACTGAATGTAGTAGGTTTTGTCAATGTTTAGAGTAAGTTTGTTGGTCCTCATCCAGGTTGATATTTTCTGTAATTCAGTATTTACAGTATTGGCTAGCATGACTGGGCTTGGGTGGGAGTAGACGTATGTAGTGTCATCTGCAAATAGTGTGGGTTTGAGTAGTTGCGATGCATTTGGTAGGTCATTTATGTATATGAAAAAGAGAAGAGGGCCTAGGACACTTCCCTGTGAGATACCAACTGTAATTGGCTGTGCAGAAGATGACAGTTAAGTCTTACAAACTTTCACTTAAAGTATTCATTATACACATACTTTTCATGTGATGCTGTACAGTGGAACCCTGGATACTGTCCAATGCGGATATCAGCCAAATCCAATTTCGGCTGCTTTTTTGGCCGAAATTCTGTCCTGGATTTCAGCCGGCAACTCAGAAATTGGCCGTATTGGATGCGTCCGCTCGCCACTCTGCCACGCTCGTGAGTCAGTCTGGCTGTGTCTTTGGGTGAGTGAGTAACATTCCGCACATTCATTGAAACATTTCATTATAATCCATTGTTTTTTGTGGTTGTTTATCGAGTGTGACTGCAAAATAAGCCACCATGGGTCCAAAGAAACTTCCTACTGCCAGCCCTTTGGTAAAGAAAGTGAGAAACATGATAGAATTCAGTGACAACCTTGTCCCACTTCAGGCAAATCTTAGAGACATCAGAAACAGACCTCTCTAGACAGTTTTTTTTTTTGTGTGACAGGGGTGCAGTGATTCTCAAGTTGGTCCTAGTGCCAGTAAAAGACAAAGAAGGGAAGTAACCCCAGATAGGGACTCGACACCTGAAGTCCTTATGGAGGGGGATTCCCCTTCCAAACAATAACCCCCCCAACTCCCTCTCCCCTCCTCGCCTTCTTCAATACGCCAACAAGAGTCCTCAATAAAGGTATGTAATGTTCAATTATCATTAAAATTTGTGCTTTATATTTATTTCTCATTGCTTTCTGTATGTAAAACTATAGTTAATCTTTAAAAAATGTATTTTTTGTTAATAATTTTGGGTGTCTGGAATGGATTAATTGTATTTACATTAATTGTCATGGGAAATAATACTTCAGTTTTTGGCCTTTTTGGATTTAGGCCGACCTTCTGGAACAGATTACGGCCGAAATCCAGGGTTCAACTGTAGTACGTATTTCCTTTCCAACCTAAGAGACCTAATCTGAGATCAGGCGACAGGGAAGATGCCCCCCACTGAATGGGAAAATGATTGTAAGCTCTGCTTTATAAGAATAACATATAATTACACAGTACTGTATATACATTTAAATGTGTCTGCTTCCCATAGTCTCATAATTTACCACTCACCATCTGTGATTCACAATATTTTTAATGAATTTTTATTATCAATGGATGTCTGTCTGTTCTTAAATGGACTCAAAAGCCCATCAACTACACAACAGCCATAGCTATTTATCTGTATACTCAATGTTCAAAATATTCTGTACTAATAAATGAAAAATACTTACAAATATGCAATGATCAAGGTATCTGTTGTGTGTGTCCTGCATGCTAAGAGCTAAACATTTAAACACTGCACAGCTCTGTATAGAAAGGGGAAAGACAGGGGACATAGATAATAGCTAAAGATACAGATATAAGCCTCAGGGACATTAAGAAGTACAGAATTTTACCCATCATATTAAGGTGAATAAAAAATTTAAACAGATGAGGTGGGAGGAGGCAAACACCATACAGAGTCTCAAAAGTGGGTATAATGAAAACCAGGTAACCAGGGACCAATAAAGTTGGTAGATAAGAGATAAAAGGCATTGCAAGAAGATATGACTCAACCCCTGCAAATACAACTTTTTGTACAGACAAAATACATATATATAGTATAACACTGTGGAGAACAATAAGTATATACATAAATTATCACACACGCACATGTTGTTGGACACAGGAGAAGCAACCCGTCACAGACAAAAACAAAAAAGAAAGACCATCAAGCACACTATACATCACTCAAGCCTCCTATCAGTATATATAAGAAAAGCACATGAAATTATCACACCATACTCATGTAGGTGTAAGTACAAGAAACAGCACACACACATATTATTGTAAAAGAAACGCACATTCCTAATAAAAAAAAAACTTTCTTGGGCGTAAGTCTTACAGAAGTATCTGTATCCGCCGGAAGTACACACACACCTCCGCGAAATACACTGGCCACAATTACTAAATACAACTAGCTGAGTATACTAATGTATTGAATTAATGTATATTATTTCACCACCAGCCAACTATTTAGTTAAGTAAATGATGTGTTAAATATGTTGGTATATTTAGGTTCAAAAATTTTCCTTCTGAATTATTATTATATACAACACCTGGAGAAATGGAGGGAATCAGGTTCAATCTTAAAGGAGGACAAGCCTATTTCTTGGATAAGGAGCCCAAACTTTCCTGAAGAAATTCCTTCTGAAACCTAACATGATCAAATATATTTATTATAAATTTTGAAACCCAACCTACCCAAATATATTTTGGATAAATTTTGGAACTTAAACCTAACTTACTCAAAAATATTTATAGGGGATTTAGGTTCAAATATTTTCATTCTTGATACCTTGGTTAATTTCTCTTAGTGTTTAAGAGCCTATTTATCTTTCTCCTGTAAATTCTGAAATCTGAGTCAGTTCTGAACATTGAGTGAGGTATACCTGTTTCATGCTTACCAAGCTATTAAATCCTGCACTGATTATAAATACATAAAATCTCTGTCAAAGGCTTTGACTCAATAAAACTATGGTATGTTACAATTTCAAAAACACAAGAGCCAATAACATACCTCTTGTCAATGTCAGATTTTTCAGAGTTCTTGAAAAAGGTCATTTTTGGTATGAATGCCACTCCCAAACGCTGGAGATACATCACCCACAACTGTAGGGCAGTGGTTTGAGCATTTTTTGAGAATCCAAGTGTACCAAGTGCCTCAGTCCACTTATGAAGAACAATGTTGCACGCTTCATACATGGCACACATTTTCCTTTATCTGAAAGCTTTACTTAAATTAGGCTGTGAAGAAATGTAGCTTATCAAATCACAGAGCATAAGATTTGTTTTGTAAAATGGTACCATCATACATGCTAATTTTGTATACCATGGTAGTAGGATTTAAGGAAATCCTACAAGAGCAGACGAGAGAATTTAATATAAATTGGAAATACATGAGAACTTGTATATAAAAAAAATTTGCACCTAAATAAAAATTTATAACACCACCATCTTAGAATGCTGACCAAAATAAACATGGAATGAACTACATGTATCTCTTCCCCAGCCAAGGTAAGTTATTTCCAGGAGTAAACAAACACCTAACTTTGCAGGTTGCTTAGGTTAGGTAAGATTTGTCAAGAAAAATGACAGATGTTTCCTGATGCGGGTCTTTGTCATATGACCCACAGCTAGACCTTTTGGTCATCTGACTAAGGCCTTCCACTGGTTTACCTGTCCACCCCTTTAAAATTTAAAGTTATTATTATAACCATATTTACTACTGCAGTTCACTAGTCTTGAATGGCATGTTATTACTGTTATCACCATACTCAGAGTGAGGTGGTACATCCATGAGGGTCATACACTACCTGGGGAATGAGAGCTAACTAATGTACCTCCTTGATTGCTTACTCTTGGAAATATCAGTGTATTAGCTTTACTGGCTTATGTGAGGTTAAACTAACCATACCACAGATGGGGATAGAACCCGCGAGTTTTGAGACTCTCTGATCACGGGTTCTATCCCCGTCCGTGGTATGGTTTGTTTGCAATAGTGTCATTACGATTTCGTGAGTCAAGTGAGGTTAAACTTACATAATGCAGTACATATAGGAGTTCTATCATCCTTTTCATATTACCTATAGATTGCCTAAATAAAAACTTAACTTTTTTTTATGGGCTGTCCTTGGTAATTTACACACAGGTACTGTGCAAGGCAATTGTAATTAATTCATAAACTCTTCTGCACAACCAATTACAGTTGGTGTCCCACAGGGAAGTGTCCTTGGCCCTCTTCTCTTTCTCCTATACATAAATGACCTACCAAATGCTTCTCAATTACTCAAACCCACACTATTTGCTGATGACACAACATACGTCTTCTCCCACCCGAGCCCAGTCACGCTAGCCAATACTTTAAATACCGAATTACAGAAAATATCTACCTGGATGAGTACTAACAAACTTACACTAAACATTGACAAAACCTACTTCATTCAGTTTGGTAACAGAGCTACAGATGTCCCTCTTAACATAATGATAAACGGATCACCTATCACAAAGCTAACAGAGGGAAAATTCTTAGGAATCCACCTTGATAATAGACTCAAATTTCATACACATATACAACAAATTTCTAAGAAAATTTCCAAGACTGTAGGCATACTATCGAAGATACGGTACTATGCTCCACAGTCAGCCCTCCTGGCCCTATATCACTCTCTTATTTACCCCTATCTCACCTATGGAATTTGTGCATGGGGCTCAACAACAAGTAACCATCTCAGACCACTAATTACCCAACAAAAGGCTGCAGTTAGAATGATAACAAATTCTCACTACAGGCAGCACACTCCACCAATATTCAATACACTCAACCTACTCACCATACAAAACATCCATACTTATTACTGCACCTATTACATACATAGAACACTCAACTCTGATATTAACCCTCCCCTCAAACATCTCCTTGCCAACCTCAACAGAACACATGACCATAACACAAGGCACAGATCACTCTTTGATATTCCTCGTGTCCATCTCACGCTATGCAAAAACTCAATGCACATAAAAGGCCCTAAAATCTGGAATTCATTACCTGTAAATATAAAAGAAACACTACCTGTTTATAAATTCAAGTCTCTTCTCAAAGATCACTTACTCACCCAAAACCAAATAAATACTGAATAACTGAACCTTATAAATTGTATATCTTAAATGTTTCTCACAATTATATCACATAAATGTTAAACCTAAAACCCAATCTAACTTTATTATTTTTTAAATACACTACCTAACAGAATACTCCATTCTACTGAATTTACAACAATGCATGCAACCATATGACCTGTCTTTGTAATACTCACTTGTGCTTTATAGTAATCAGTTTACATTAATGTTTTTCACTGATTTCATCATTGCTTAGTTAATCTTAAGTTAATTTTAAGCCAGCCCGTAATGCTATGCATAGTATAAGTGGCTTTGGCATGCTGCTCTCATCTGTATTTTTTTTGTACCTCTGTAAGTGTGCTCAAATTATAAATAAATAAATAAATAAATAAATAATTGTACCTAAAATAAACTTGCTTAAGTAGTACGATAATTTGTGTAACTGTATTTCTGTGTACCTATACCTAAATAATCTTAATTAAAATGCACATGCATGCTAGTGACTTTCTTCGTGCTTAACAATATTTTAATATATGTAAACTACATTGTATACTACACAAACAAAAAATTCAAGGACCACAGTGGAAATAAATAACTTTGTCTGACTGTCTAGGATTATCCTAGGTAATCTACACATACATATGCTGCTATGTATCATAATTTATGTAACTATGCAAGACAAGCCATGGGGGTGGAAATCTTCAGCTCAAGTACTTTCACACTTCAGTGTGTCATCAGGAGTTATGCAATGTTGCAAGGGCAGCAACTGAAGGATTGAGGGGAAGTTTTTCTCACAGAAGCGCAGTGTAGGTTGACACCAGCCGCAGTCTCTCCAGGTTGACACCAGCTGCAGTCTCTCCAGGTTGACACCAGCCGCAGTCTCTCCAGGTTGACACCAGCTGCAGTCTCTCCAGGTTGACACCAGCCGCAGTCTCTCCAGGTTGACACAGCTGAAAGTCTCTCCAGGTTGACACCAGCCGCAGCCCTCTCCAGGTTGACACCAGCCGCAGTCTCTCCAGGTTGACACCAGCCGCAGTCTCTCCAGGTTGACACCAGCCGCAGTCTCTCCAGGTTGACACCAGCCACAGTCTCTCCAGGTTGACACTAGCCGCAGTCTCTCCAGGTTGACACCATCCGCAGTCTCTTCAGGTTGACACCAGCCACAGTCTCTCCAGGTTGACACCAGCCGCAGTCTCTCCAGGTTGACACCAGCCGCAGTCTCTCCAGGTTGACACCAGCCGCAGTCTCTCCAGGTTGACACCAGCTGCAGTTTCTCCAGGTTGACACCAGCCACAGAGAGACTGTGACTGATGTCAACCAATGCTGCGCTACTCTGAGAAAAACTTCCCCTCAATCCTTCAATTGCTTCCTTGCAATATTGCAATGCAACTGATGATGCACTGAGAAGTGTGAAGTATTGAGCTAAAGATTTTCACTCCCCGTGGCTTGTCTTACATAGTTAAGATCGCCTGTCTACGATTGTTTGCATTATGTAACTAAACTTACTTATTTATGGGTACCTGTACCTGAATGAACTTATCATATCGAACCCTGCCTTCCAGTGCCCGGAAAAAGAATTTCGACCAAAGTGGAAGGAAGTTGACTAATTAACTGTGCGTATTATGTCTCTATGACTAATTAACTGTGCATATTATGTCTATGACTAATTAACTGTGCGTATTATGTCTCTATGACTAATTAACTGTGCGTATTATGTCTCTATGACTAATTAACTGTGAGTATTATGTCTCTAATGTGCCCTAAGCCAACAAGAATGCGTAGATACATGCCAGGATCTTCTGACGGTCTGGAGGGTCAAACCTCTTCCCACTGAGGAGAGGTAGGGTTAAAGGCAGGACGTGTGGACGGGCCGAACACAGAAGTGCCAGGGAAGGTTGAGAATCAGAGAACCACGGGCTAAAGTCTGAAGGTGAGCAAGGGCGAAAATCAAAGCCTGGTGAATGGGGACGAACTCTCCGCCTAGGACCGAGTGAGCGGGTCTAATACGAAGATCAGCGAATAAAGGAGAACACGTAGGAGGAGAGGAAGTTTGTGCCGAGCCGTCCCTGTAAATGGAGAAACTCTTCAAAGAGAAATACAGCCATCTGAGGAGATACCCTGTTTCTGCAGCGCCTTTCTTTGTTGGGTTTATCAGGGTCACTGACAGCATAAGTCGTATCGAGCCCGACTTCTCGATGGTTAGTTTAATATGTTTATTATGCACCCCATACCCATCCTGTGGGCGGTAGTCAAAAGATTACAGAGGTACATAATTGGTCCAGGGACTGGACTCCAAAGTTTTGATAGCTGAGCAAGTTACAGAGGTAATGAACTCACAATTTACACGATGGTACGAGGAAAAATTGTTACCCAAGGCTGGGCGATGAGAGAAAAGGAACAAGTTTCCAATTAGATCCGGTAGACCCCTTGCCAAGCCCCAGCAGAGAGGGACGCCCACACTCCCACCAGTTTCTGCACTTAACTACTGACGCCTATACCACGGGTGGGGATAGAACCCGCGATCACAGAGGGTTCTATCCCCGCCCGTGGTATGGTTTGTTTGCAATCGTGTCATTACGATTTCGTGAGAGTACTGACGTCTCCTTGTTGGGGGATTATATGGCCACCACCCGCACCGCCGTATTCAGCCTGCTGCCCGGCAAACAAAATACTGAATAAACTTAAACGGGAGTTGCATGGATCCACCGAAAATAGAAATTGGAACAATCCTTTCCAATTAAGCCAGAGTGAGTTCACATCTGAACCACGGCAGAGCCAGAATCTCACGCTACACCAGAGTCAGTGACCGGCTTTATCTACAAGACTTATTAAAGCAATACAACATGACTTAATAGAATACTCAAATCTCTTGTATTCATTGTAACTCATGTAATGACCATATGTACTGTTATTGCCTTTTAATCTTAATTTTAAGTTTGCCTAAATGCTCTGCATATAAAGGAGCTTTTGGCATGTACAATCAACCATTATACTACACTATGCATACATGTCAAAATAAAATATATCATTATTATATATTCACCACTACAGTAAAAATCTGCAAGGAAGGGGGGGGGAAGAGCTATGTACTCGCCTATCTGCAGTTGCAGTGGTAGATTTACAGCTCCTGGCCCCGTCCAGAGCACCCAAGTAGGTGAAGAAAAAATAAACAAATTAGAAGCCAATAAATAGAAGGAAGAAAATGAGGTAACAAAAGAAAGATGAAAAGAATTAGAAATAATAAAAAAGAGAAATAGAAGAAATTAAACACATGAGGACAAAGAAGAAATAGAAAAGAAAGAAGACGAAAGGAATAGAAGAAAGAAAAGATATGATGGAGGGAAGGAAGAACTTCATCCTTCAGCACTATGGCATTAGCACCAGGGTATTAGCACCATGGCATTAGCACCAGGGTATTAGCACCATGGCATTAGCACCAGGGTATTAGCACCATGGCATTAGCACCAGGGTATTAGCACCATGGCATTAGCACCAGGGTATTAGCACCATGGCATTAGCACCAGGGTATTAGCACCATGGCATTAGCACCAGGGTATTAGCACCATGGCATTAGCACCAGGGTATTAGCACCATGGCATTAGTACCAGGGTATTAGCACCATGGCATTAGCACCAGGGTTATTAGCACCATGGCATTAGCACCAGGGTATTAGCACCATGGCATTAGCACCAGGGTATTAGCACCATGGCATTAGCACCAGGGTATTAGCACCAGGGTATTAGCACCATGTCATTAGCACCATAGCATTAGCACCAGGGTATTAGCACCAGGGTATTAGCACCATGGCATTAGCACCAGGGTACTAGCACCATGGCATTAGCACCAGGTTATTAACACCATGGCATTAGCACCAGAGTATTAGCACCATGGCATTAGTACCAGGGTATTAGCACCATGGCATTAGCACCAGGGCATTAACACCATGGCATTAGCACCGGGCCATTAACACCATGGCATTAGCACCAGGGCATTAGCACCATGGCATTAGCACCAGGGTATTAGCACCATGGTAGTAGCACCAGGGTAGTAGCACCATGGCATTAGCACCAGGGTATTAGCACCAGGGTATTAGCACCATGGCATTAGCACCATGGCATTAGCACCAGGGTATTAGCACCATGTCATTAGCACCATGCCATTAGCACCAGGGTATTAGCACCATGGCATTAGCACCATGTCATTAGCACCATGCCATTAGCACCAGGGTATTAGCACCATGGCATTAGCACCATGCCATTAGCATCAGGGTATTAGCACAATGGCATTAGCACCAGGGTATTAGCACCAAGGCTTTAGCACTAGGGCATTAGCACCACAGTATTAACACCAGGGTATTAGCACCATGGCATTAGCACCAAGGTCCAGGTAAACTCCAGGTATTAGCACCAGGGTATTAGCATCATGGCATTAGCACTAGGACATTAGCACCAGGGTATTAGCACCATGGCATTAGCACCATGGTATTAGCACCAGGGCATTAGCACCAGGGAATTAGCACCACAGCACTAGCACCAGGGTATTAGCACCATGACTTTAGCACTGAATGACACGATGGAAGAGATAGACTCAGAAGTGTCCTTGTTTGCAGATGATGTGAAGTTAATGAGGAGAATTAAATCAGATGTGGATCAGGCAGGACTTCAAAGAGACCTGGACAGGCTGGACACCTGGTTCAACGACTGGCTTCTCGAATTTCAACTCGCCAAATGCAGAGTCATGAAGATCAGGGAAGGGCAAAGAAGACTGCAGAGTATAGGTGGCCAAAGACTGCAAACCTCGCTCAAGGAGAAAGATTTTGGGGTGTGTATAACACCAAGCACATCTCCAGAAGCACACATCAACCAGATAACTGCTGCAGCATATGGGCGCCTGGCAAACCTGAGTACAGTGGACCCCCGGATAACGATCAGCTCCCAACTCGACCAATTATGTAAGTTTATTTTTGTAAATGCTTTTGTAGGTGTATTTTTAGGGGTCTGAAATGGACTAATCTAATTCACAATATTTCTTATGGGAACAAATTCGGTCTATAACGGCACCCAAACAGACTTCTGGATTGAAATAATATCGTTATGCGGGGGTCCACTGTATAGTGTTCCGATACCTTAGTAAGGAATCGTTCAAGACACTGTACATCGTGTACATCAGACCCATACTGGAGTATGCAGCACCAATTTGGAACCCACACCGGGTCAAGCATGTCAAGAAATTAGAGAAACTGCAAAGATTTGCGACAAGGTTAGTTCCAGAGCTAAGGGGAATGTCCTATTAAGAAAGGTTAGGGGAAATCGGCCTGATGACACTGGAGGACAGGAGGGTTAGGGGAGACACGATAATGACATACAAAATATTGCGTGGAATAGACAAGGTGGACAGGGACAGGATGTTCCAGAGAGGGGACACAGAAACAGAGGGTTACACTTGGAGTTGAAGACTCAGATGAGTCAAAGGGTGTTAGGAAGTACATTTCTTCAGTCATAGAGTAGTCAGGAAGAGGAATAGTCTAGCAAGTGAGGTAGTGGAGGCAGGAACCATACATAGCTTAAAGATGAGGTATGATAAAGCTCATGGAGCAGGGAGAGAGAGAGGACCTAGTAGCGTTCAATGAAGAGGCAGGGCCAGGAGCTGAGTCTCAACCCCTGCAACCACAATTAGGTGAATCCAATTAGGCGAGTACTAGGGTGTTAGCACCAGAGTATTAGCACCAGGGTATTAGCATCATGGCATTAGCACTAGGGTATTAGCACCAGGGTATTAGCACCAGGGTATTAGAACCAGGGCATTAGCACCATAGCATTAAAACCAGGGCATTAGCACCATGGCATTAAAACCAGGGCATTAGCACCAGAGTATTAACACCAGGGCATTAGCACTATTGCATCTGCACTAGTGCATTAATGCTAGAACATTATTTCTAGTGCATTAACATTAGAGCATTGACTAGTTATGGAGTTCATCCTGATGACACTAGAGGGCAGAACTAGGGGGATATAATGACACAGAAAATACTGAGAGAGATTGATAAGGTGAATAGGGACAGAATGTTCAGAGATGGGAAATAGGAACAAGAGGACACAGATGGAAATTGAAAACTCAGATGAGTCATAGGGATGTTAGGAAGTATTTCTTCAGCCTTAGCATTGTTAGGAAGTGAAACAATCTGGAGAGTGAAGTGGTAGAGGTGGGATCCATGCATTGCTTTAAGAGGTATGACAAGGCTCTTGAACCCAGGAGAAAGTGGACCTTATGACCAGCACAGAGGTGGGGCCAGGAGCTGTGACTTGCCCCTTGCAACCTGATACAGGTGAGTACATATAGGTAAATACTTGTATTAACACTAGTGTATTAACACTACGGTATCAGTATTAGTGCATCAACACTTTCATTTATAACTATAGAATACCTTGTCTAATTGCCTTGATCTTTTCAACCCTGGTTAATAATAATTAGGCAAAGGCTCTTGGAAAATTTGCAATGCACTATTTCCCTCCACTCAATTTGTTAGTGACCATTCCCAATTTCAGTTCTCAAGCAATAGCTTTAGAAAGCCTTTTTTGATCAGCCTAAAAATTTCAAGATGAGTATATCCTACTATGAATGTTGTTGTTAGTGCAGTGTGCAGATGCCAGTCCACCAAAGCTAATTTTAGAAAGGTATACAGTGCAGTGAAACCTCGGCTCACGAATATAATCTGTTCCATGGGCTTGTTCGTATGCTGGGTCAATTTTCCTCATTTAAATTAAGTGAAATGCAATTAATTCGTTCCAGCTGAATTCCTGCTCTCAGGAGGCATGACAAAATAACCCTAATATCAAATCTACGGTTTATTTATTTCTCACAATTCATCTAATATGACATAATAAACAATATAAATAACATAGAAAACTGATACGTACATACTCTAGAAAGAATAAAATATGTCGTTATGTGGACGGTGGAGGGAGGAGGATTGTGGTCGTGAGAGTGGTCGCTATGTACAATTTTTATGTTTATCTCATTACATTACGTACCTGGTCTGTGCTTATCAATGATTTCTTGCTTTAATTCCATGCAAATTATCCTCTTTTTCTTCTCGGCACTGTCCTTTGCACTTGCTTTCTTAAGACCCATGATTAGAAGAAAGAAATCTGGCAAATTAACTGCACGAAACGTAAAGAAATCATGAGAATTCCTTGGACCACGAGGGTAGCTCTCGAAGCACATGTGCACTTGTGAGCATTGTGGTGGTGTTGTCAAACTAAATTATACACATTAGTACATAGGTGAAAGTGTTGAATGATGATGAAAGCATTTTCTTTTTGGGGATTTTCTTTCTTTTTGGGTCACCCTGCCTCGGTGGGAGACGGCCGACTTATTAAAAAAATATATAATTATTATTAATTTAGGGACCTGGAGCACAGATCCAATTCCCTAGATCAAGAGCCCTCACCATGATGATGATGGTGGTGGTGGCGGCGGCGGTGGCAGCGGTGGCAGCGGCGACGGCGGCTGCTGCTGCTGCTACTTATTATTATTATTATTATTATAACAATAATAATAATACAATATAATAGTAATAATAATAACAGTAAGGAGAAACTTCAAAAGGCAGCCAGTAGTTGGCACCACCATCAGCAAAACATTGGTAACCACTACTAGTACACTTTTCACCTATCTAGACTTAAGTAGTCTATAAGTATTAGGGTAAGTCTGCCTGAAATGCCTCAGCATGATAGTGGCTTTCTTTGCTCCAATCATATTATATGTAAGCACATTGCAATCTTTGCAAAGAAATAAATATTTTATTTATTTATTTATTTAAGGAACCTCCCTTGATGAGGAAGTTCGCATCCTGAAATTTCGTTCGTATCCAGAAGCAAAAAATCGACGGAATGAAGGTTCGTATCCTGAAAAATTCGTGTGGTGGAGCATTCGTAAGCCGAGGTTCCACTGTATTATGGTTTTGCTCTAGATAATTAGTATGCTTTTATACTGATGAGGGGCTTTTGACCCAAGAAACTAGTCATATTCTCCTCTTCCTTGGCTCAAGCCTGAATACCTCTCATTCTCTAGGTGCCGTAAGACAGTTAGATTAAAATTAAAAACACTCTGAATGGCTTAAATTTTTAATGGCCGAAGTATCTTAAGAAATGGATGAAACACTTTTGGGTTTGGCCTGTGTAGGTCCAATTGTCTTTAGTTAATAACTTGAGAATGCATCTTCTGATCAGCTTCAACCTTTTAATGTTGATGTGTTTTCCTTAAAATAAGCTTCCTCTTGATTTTAAGTTGTGTAAGTTTAAATAAGTCAAATTTCTTGAAAAATTTTTTATTATTATACAAAAGAAAGAAAGAAGTAAGTATTTTTTCTTTACATAGATTTAACCTAGGATAACATAATGATTTACTTTTTTTATGCAACAATAACTTGTGCACCCTCTCCAAAACCATTTTAAAAAATTATGTGATATAACCAAAGTATAAATATAAATAACTTGAAAATGTGTGTCTTTTTTTTTTTAAAACATTAGCCATCTCCCACCGGAAAGGGCGACCCAAAAAAACAAGAAACAAAAGAAAGAAAGAAGTAAGTATTTTTTCTTTACGTAGATTTAACCTAGGATAACATAATGATTTACTTTTTTTATGCAACAATAACTTGTGCACCCTCTCCAAAACCATTTTAAAAAATTATGTGATATAACCAAAGTATAAATATGAATTTATTAATCAAACTTAAAACACTGGTCAGTGCTAGTTTGTTTACGTCTCCATTTGCCTTTGTATGGAAAAATTGGGAATAAATTATATTATTTTATGAAAAAATTTCTGTGTGCCTCATTTGATTGATTCAACCCTTAATTGCAGGTAACTTGATAATGCATATTCTGAGCAGCTTCAAACTTAATGTACTTACGTGTTTTAGGATATTGGTATTTCTGAGCTAAGAGAATGCCTCTTCGGTTTGGCTTTAAACCTTGTAAACTAGTGTTTTATTGGATGGCTTGAATTAGTTTTAGACTGAGAATGTCCTAATTTGTCATTTTTTATTAAAGAAATTGGTATGTTAGTGTCCATGTGAAAACTTGTGAATTTCTCTTCTGATTCACTTCAGATCTTCAGTGCTGATATTAGAAACTTATGCCACACACTGCACTAATCCAGTCATGTGTATAGAGGTACAGGGGTCTGGGGTTATGCAATATAGGAATACCTTTCTCTGAAATGTGGGGCAATTAAGATACATCTAGTTAAGAGCCTTGTCTCTGGTATGAGTTTCAAGAACTTTATTATGTATAGGCACCCCTTAATAACTGACAATCAAGGAGTCTAAAGAGGATTAAGTCTTTCTGACAAACTCAGCATCACATTAACTTTAGATAATATGGGAATAACAACAAGTTGTAGATGATACACACAAAAGAGCAGTACAGTTCCTGGAAACTTTATTTCGACTTATTCTTGCTCAGAAAAATGTGACTTGAAATAGCCTGCAGTTTATGCAAAACATTATATGCATTAAGTTACTAATTACTGCTTTTCTCTCTTTCTCATCAACAAAAACTCATTTTCAATATATTTCTTTGGACACTTACTGTTTCAAGGAAATCACAAGTTATTGTGTATTATTTTAACCTTTCTTCTTTCTTTCAACGTACCAGCTGTATCCCACCGAGGTGGGGTGGCCCAAAAGGAAAAACGAAAGTTTCTCCTTTTAAATTTAGTAATATATACAGGAGAAGGGGTTACTAGCCCCTTGCTCCCGGCATTTTAGTCGCCTCTTACAACACGCATGGCTTACGGAGGAAGAATTCTGTTCCACTTCCCCATGGAGAATTATTTTAATCTATGATGGAATATTTCTTACACTTTTAAAAAATCTTCAATTTCATTTACAGTGTACTTACTTGTAATTACGAGAATGTAACCATTCTTTTAACTAAAAAATATACTTAGCGATTTACAATTCTCCCCCCCCCCCCAAAAAAAAAAAGACACCAAATAAAAAAGTTTGGAAAAGATGAATAAAATGCACAAAAAGCTTAATGAGCTTTACTAAGAAACATAGAAAATACAAAACATCTACCTCATCATCTGTTCTAATGCTTGTCATTACATTTTTAATTCTTTTTGTTTGATACATGATGCCAAAATCTGTACTCATATTTACAGAGTATTTTACTTTCCAAATCAGGTTTTCTCATAATCAAATTAAAGTTGGTATACAGTACTATGTTTTAAAGACAATGATGTAAGAGTAATGTTATTCAACATAGGTCACATCATCATATATTCTGCCAGTTGGTATATATATATATTCTATACATACATATTCTATATATCTATGTATATCAAACTGGCAAAGATATTCAAAAAAAAAAGAAAAAAAATGTAATGCACACTTAAATTACAAGACAAAACATGTAAGTATAATTTTGTACTGTACAGTACTTAATCCTTTCAGGGTTGAGAGGCCCTGTCCTAAACTTGTTCTCAGGGTCAAAAATTTTTCGGAAAAAAAAAAATAGTTTTTTATGAAATGACAGAGAATCTTTTCCCGATCATAATGACACCAAAAGTATGAAATTTGATGGAAAACTTATGGAATTATGCTCTCGCGAAGTTAGCAGTTTCAAAGATGTTTACGGATTGGTGATTTCGCCCACTTTGAGCCCTATTTTCGGACAATTCCAGTGTACTAGTCGACAAAAATCATAACTATTTCACTAGAACTCCATTTTTTTCTATCAAATGAGTACAAGAAACCACCCATTTACCGATTTCAACTATTCAATAAAGTGGTCAGAAATTTGCAATTTTGCCAATTTCACACAAATTTCAAAAGATGCCAATTTCCAAATAGGGTCCAGAATAAACAAGACAGACATTCCTGGCACTAAAATAACATTTCCTCTGTTCATTAGTCACATCTCCAGGCCCCTCTTACATTTCTTTTGCTTTCCACATTGAATTTTTATTCTCACAAAAAAATAGAAGATTTACTGTTATGCAGACTACTGCATTAGTGTAGGAATGGTATAAATAATATCAGCGCACTTGTGAAAGAATATTAGACTCACCAGCTGACATGTATTGGACGCGTGGCATAATTTATTTACTTTTGAACTTTAGCAAAAATCGAACATTTCTGCTACTTTGAGCTCAATTTCAAGGTACTTTTCATTGTGAAACCCATCAAAATCATCTCAATTTCTGTAATATGCCTTCCATTCTATAAAATGAGATCAGGAAAACTAGAATACAACCATAAATACCATACGAAAATACAGTGCAAAGTCGCTGTTTTAAACCAAAAACACGGTCAAAGTTTTTTTCTCATTACGCACTGTGCTGCAGGATTTTTTTATACTGTGCACACTGACCACATAGGCCCATTCTTTCATATGTAGGCCTACCAGCTTTCTCTCGCTAGATTTGAAGGCGCTAGAATTTATGCGTACTTGTACGTCAATAACCCTGGTGCGTAAGACGTACTAGTATGTCGGAAACCTTGAAAGAGTTAAAAACTTCAGCCATGTAATGTACTAATAAGAGCATATAATACTGTTTCACTGACAACATATACAAAACAGTAATTTCATGGTACATTCTCAATTTGATATTAATGAATAATCTATACTTGACAAAATAAATTCAATTTTTTATATTAACTGGGTGTTTAAACATAATGCAATACACAAATGATGTTTAGCTGTGAGAAAAGTGCTTGTCCCTTCTAAGACCTTTTCCTCAATGTAGGAGGACTGCACATGTGTCTTTCTCCAGATATTTCAAATGTTTTCAAGCATTTTTGAAGATTTTTGCATGAGTTCTTGACCCTTTTTAAAAGAGAGAGGATATGAAAAAGAAAGAAGTGCCTTTCCTCAAAAGCATGCAAGTTAGAAAGTTTTTCTTTTTATTAACACATCAGCTGATTCCAACCAAGGCAGGGTGGCCCGAAAAAGGACAACTTTCATCATCGTTCACTCCATCACTGTCTTGCCAGAGAGGTGCTTTACACTACAGTTATAAAACTGCAGCAGTAAGACCCTTCCTTCAGAATACAGACACTGTACTTCTCATCTCCAAGACTCTAAGTCTGGCCTGCAGGTTTCCCTGAATCCCCCCATAAATGTTACTTTGCTTACACTCCAACAGCACATCAAGCATTAAAAATCATTTGTCTCCATTCATTCCTATCAAATACGTTCACGCATGTTTGCTGAAAGTCCAAGCCCCTCGCACACAAAACCTCCTTTACCCTCCCTCCCTCCCTCCAACCTTTCCTTGGCCGACCCCTACCCTGTCTTCCCTCCACTACAGATTTATACACTCAAAGTCATTCTGTTTCATTCCAGTCTCCAACCCATCCTCAGCCCTTTGGATAATAGTTTTGGTAATCCCGCACCTCCTCCTAATTTCCAAACTACAAATTCTCTGCATCATATTCACAACACACATTGCCCTCAAGTTAGAAAGTATGTATGAGGCAAAAAAAAGACATGAAGCAGCAATAAGTAAACAAAGAAAAAACATGACAACAGTAGTTACAAGGAGAAAATAGACAAAGCACAAAAACACAGTGTAGCATGTATAACGGAAAGATGACTATCATGGGTCACTGATGCTGTCTATGAAAAGCTACTTTAGCCTGTCTAAGGATATCATCATCTCCGTATTTCAGGGAAAGGAGTCAAGGATGTAGATCGTATTCCAAATCTCAGAAAAATAGGAGTTTCCAGACAAAATTAAGGCATCAAACCTACTGATTTTCAGTCTCATCATTCTTTGGCTTTCATTAGACTACCAGATGACCAAGACTACAGTTCATTACTAATGCTTTCCAATGTAGTGTTAATACAGTGACTTTCATGTATGATTCAACATACCAGCCATATCCCACCAAAGCAGGGTGACTTAATAAGAAAATGAAAGTTTTTTTTTTTTTCAATGAGCCAGCCATATCCCACTGAGGCATGGTGACCTAAAAAAGAAAAACTAAAGTTTCTCTTTTAAATTTAGTAATTTATACCAGAGGAGGGGTTATTAGCCCCTTGCATCCCACATGTCTTAGGGAGGATGAATTCTTTTCCACTTCCCCATGGAGATAAGTGGAAATAAAGAAGATCAAGAACTATTTAAAAAACAGAAGAAAACCCAGATTTTTTTTTTTAACACACTGGCCGCTTTCCACCAAGGCAGGGTCACCCAAAAAGAAAGAAAAAACTTTCATCATCATTCAACACTTTCACCATCACTCATACATATGCACTGTCTTTGCAGAGGCACTCAGATATGACAGTTTAGATGTTCATCCAAACTGCCAGTATCCCAAACCCCTCCCCTTACAGTGCAGGCATTGTACTTCCCATTTCCAGGACTCAAGTCCGGATAACTGGTTTCCCTGAATCCCTTCACAAAATATTACCCTGCTCACACTCCAACAGCTCATCAAGTCCCAAAAACCATTTGTCTCCATTCACTCCTATCTAACATGCTTACACAAGCTTGCTGGAAGTCCAAGCCCTTCACCCACAAAACCTCCTTTACCCCCTCCCTCCAACCTTTTTGAGGACGACCCCTACATGCATGTACATGCAAATGTAGTGTGACCTAAGTGTATGTAGAAGTAGCAAGATATACCTGTTATCACACATGTTTATGAGAGAGAGAAAAAAGACACCAGCAATCCTACCATCATGTAAAACAATTACAGGTTTCCATTTCACACTTATTTTTTCATACATAAAGTAATTAATATTACAAATGACACACACACTCCACTTTTAAGATCTGTGCAATAACTGCAAGACAGAAATGGCATCTAGACACATTCAGTATAATACAGTTAACACTATATTAACCAGTCTTCATTGTAACTCTTGCAGTCACCTGGCTTCTCGAGTTGCTAACAGAGTGGTGATAAGACGATTTTTTATAGGTAGTCTGTGCAACGAATCCCACATATCACCTGCAAAAGAAAGTTGGAATTATATACAATGCATAACAGATTGTTTAATCTGCATTATGTCTCTTTAAATTGTTTGTCTCTTTCAGCCTTACATATACCTTTCAGTCATTTCTGTGGTGGGAAATGGCCAATGTGGAAACAAAAAAAGTGGTCACTACCATGGGTAAAGCATTAAGTCTGTGCTAAATTACTGGATAATTTTGTAGTAGAGGATACCCTTTTAATTTAAGGTAAGCATACACTTCTATTCTTGAAATGAGCATAGACATCCAGTTTCTATGCAGTGGGATAATGCTGTTACAATATTTGTCACAAATAAGCATAATTTGTCACAATTAAGAATATTTAAGAAAATTCTTGTTTTCTAAAATGTTTTCAATAATTTATATTTTCACAGTTATTTGGAAATACTACAATAATATTCATGAAATTGAGGTACTGTATATGATAAAAATACTTACTAAGGGATCCAGCAAGAGATTCTGTGTGTAATGCAACTAATATGATCTGAGCTAGTCTATCAAGCGACATGTTGATAACCTCTTCATTTTCTGGTCCACAGCTTCTGATTCTTTCACACACAGCATCAACAACACTGGTTACATGTTTGGGACATAATACCTGCAACCATCATTGCCATTTTATTATAAAAATAAGTATTTAAGCAAATCATATGTACGATAGATATTCTGTTAATTACAATTTTATTAAAAGATTCTTATCATTGAGAAATCAGTTTCCAAACTTTCAGTGTAGCATTATAATGTTCCCAAGTATAATTTTTTTATTTAGTTTGATGCTGTTGTCCAAAATGAAATATGCATTCCCTTAAAACTCTTGCCAAATACCTTGTACATTTACTGTAAAAGAATTTCCAGGAAACATTTTACCTAAGTATCAGAGCGTTGTTTAGTGCATAACTGATTGATTGGCAGAAAAAGATTGTAAAATATGAGTGCATGCATATGTACAGGAACTACGAGCACAGGTGGCAAAATAGTAAATGATTCCTTATGTACTGTATGTTGTTGTTTACCTGGAGAGAGTTCCGGGGGTCAACGCCCCCGCGGCCCGGTCTGTGACCAGGCCTCCTGGTGGATCAGAGCCTGATCAACCAGGCTGTTGCTGCTGGCTGCACGCAAACCAATGTACGAGCCACAGCCCGGCTGATCCGGAACTGACTTTAGGTGCTTGTCCAGTGCCAGCTTGAAGACTGCCAGGGGTCTGTTGGTAATCCCCCTTATGTGTGCTGGGAGGCAGTTGAACAGTCTCGGGCCCCTGACACTTATTGTATGGTCTCTTAACGTGCTAGTGACACCCCTGCTTTTCATTGGGGGATGGTGCATCGTCTGCCAAGTTTTTGCTTTCGTAGTGAGTGATTTTCGTGTGCAAGTTCGGTACTAGTCCCTCTAGGATTTTCCAGGTGTATATAATCATGTATCTCTCCCTCCTGCGTTCCAGGGAATACAGGTTTAGGAACCTCAAGCGCTCCCAATATTGAGGTGTTTTATCTCCGTTATGCGCGCCGTGAAAGTTCTCTTACATTTTCTAGGTCGGCAATTTTCACCTGCCTTGAAAGGTGCTGTTTATGTGCAGCAATATTCCAGCCTAGATAGAACAAGTGACCTGAAGAGTGTCATCATGGGCTTGGCCTCCCTAGTTTTGAAGGTTCTCATTATCCATCCTGTCATTTTTCTAGCAGATGCAATTGATACAATGTTTATGGTCCTTGAAGGTGAGATCCTCCGACATGATCACTCCCAGGTCTTTGACGTTGGTGTTTCGCTCTATTTTGTGGCCAGAATTTGTTTTGTACTCTGATGAAGATTTAATTTCCTCATGTTTACCATATCTGAGTAATTGAAATTTCTCATCGTTGAACTTCATATTGTTTTCTGCAGCCCACTGAAAGATTTGGTTGATGTCCGCCTGGAGCTTTGCAGTGTCTGTAATGGAAGACACTGTCATGCAGATTCGGGTGTCATCTGCAAAGGAAGACACGGTGCTGTGGCTGACATCCTTGTCTATGTCGGATATGAGGATGAGGAACAAGATGGGAGCGAGTACTGTGCCTTGTGGTAAGTTTTCATTCATATTTAAAGATGTAACTGAAACTAAAATAATATCAGCAAGACATTTTTGTAAATAATAATCACAATAATAATGAATGTACTGTAGTTTAATTTTTCATATTTTCCTTAATTAAAAAAAGCTCTATAACAGGTATAAGTTATCAGTGATAAGATTTGTTGGGATTTTTAACCCAAAGAGTTAGCCACCCAGGATAATCCTTAAATCTTGTACCCCAAGGATGCAATACACAACAACTGGCTAATACCCAGGTACCTACTTACTACTAGGTGAACAGGGACACCAGGTGTAAGGAAACATTGACCAATGTTCCCACCCATGCCAGGGATTGAACCAAGGACATTCACTATATGCATTGCCAACTGAGCCATACCTCAAACGTATCACACTACATAAAGTAAATGAAATATTGTTCTATTTCTATTTAGTGTATCTGCATTTGTTATTCACCAACCACAAGGAAGGAAGTTATGGGATGGGCATAAATAGTGCTGTGGCTTGAGAGATCACTAGCATTCCTGTCAGAAAAAACAAAACAAAAAAAAAATCTATATACAGTGGAACCCCAGTTTTCATCTGGTCCGGTTATCATACAATTCAGTTTTCAACCACTTTTTTCGGTGAAATTTTCCCCATTTTTTGTAGATCCGCTCAGAAATCATCCGTACCAGACACCTGCAGGATGCGGCTGCTCATAAGTTCGTGACTCAGTCTTCTGCCTTTGTTACTCATAGAGGGTGGTTATGATGGTGGTAGAGGGTGATAATGGTTGTGATGTGGTAGAGGGTGATAATGGTTGTGATGGTGGTAGAGGGTGGTAGTGATGGTGGTAGAGTGGTAGTGATGGTGGTAGAGGGTGGTAGTGATGGTGGTAGAGGGTGGTGGTAACTGTGGTAGAGGGTGGTAGTGATTGTGGTAGAGATAACCTCTCCTCCCTCTCCCCTTCTTGCCGTCTTCCATGTGCCAACAAGAGTCTTCAATAAAGGTAAAAGTGATTTAAATGTTCATTTATCCATTTCATTAGTGCTTTACATTTATTTCTCATGAAAAAGAGGACAAAGTATACAAGGTATGATACAGCATGTACTGAAAGTAGGTTGTTAGATTATGTATTGGTGGATAAAAGGTTGATGGGTAGGCTTCAGGATGTAAGTGTTTATAGAGGGGCAACTGATATATCGGATCATTATTTAGTTGTAGCTACAGTTAGAGAAAGAGGTAGATGGGACAAAAGGAAAATGGCAACAGCAAGTAAGAGAGAGGTGAAGGTGTAAAAACTAAGGGAGGAGGAAGTTAGGGTGAGATATAAACAACTATTGGCAGAAAGGTGGGATAGTGCAAATATGAGTAGTGGGGGGTTGAAGAGGGTTGGAATAGTTTTAAAAATGCAGTATTAGAATATGGGGCAGAAGTTTGTGGCTATAGGAGGGTGGGTGCAGGAGGAAAGAGGAGTGATTGGTGGAGTGATGAAGTAAAGGGTGTGATAAAAGAGAAAAAGGTAGCTTATGAGAGGCTTTTACAGAGAAGTGTTATAAGAAGAGTAGAGTATATGGAGAATAAAAGAAAGGTGAAGAGAGTGGTGAGAGAGTGCAAAAGGAGAGCACATGATAGAGTGGAAGAGGCACTGTCAAGAAATTTTGCAGAAAATAAGAAAAAAAATTGGAGAAAAACAAGTTAAGAAAGTCGAGGGAAAGAATGGATTTGTCAGTTAAAAAGGGAGTAGGGGAGTTAGTTGATCTGGAGCTGGAGGTATTGGGTAGATGGCAGGAATATTTTGAGGAACTTTTAAATGTCGATGAAGAAAGGGAGGCGGTAATTTTATGCACTGGCCAGGGAGGTATAACATCTTTTAGGAGTGAAGAAAAGCAGGATGTGAGTGTGGGGGAGATATGTGAGGCATTACATAGAATTAAAGGGGGTAAAGCAGCCGGAAATGATGGGATCATGACAGAAATGTTTAAAGCAGGGGGGTGGGATATAGTGTTGGAGTGCTTGGTATTTTTGTTTAACCCTTAAACTGTCCAAACACAGATATACGTCCACGTGCGGGGGGGGGCTCCGAACGTAGATCTACATTTTTTTACATGCTTTCAAATGGGGAAAATTAAGGTCGGAGCACAACGCACATGAACATAGATCTACGTTTGGACAGTTTAAGAGTTAATAAATGTATGAAAGAGGGGAAGGTACCTAGGGATTGGCAGAGAGCATGTATAGTTCCTTTATATAAAGGGAAGGGGACAAGAGAGATCGTAAAAATTATAGGGGAATAAGTTTACTGAATTCTAGGTAGTAGGTTGGTAGACAGCAACCGCCCAGGGAGGTACTACCGTCCTGCCAAGTGAGTGTAAAACAAAAGCCTGTAATTGTTTTACATGATGGTAGGATTGCTGGTGTCTTTTGTCTGTCTCATAAACATGCAAGATTTCAGGTATGTCTTGTTACTTCTACTTGCACTTAGGTCACACTACACATACATGTACAAGCATATACACACCCCTCTAGGTATTCTTCTATTTTCTTTCTAGTTCTTGTTCTTGTTTATTTCCTCTTATCTCCATGGGGAAGTGGAACAGAATTCTTCCTCTGTAAGCCATGCGTGTTGTAAGAGGCGACTAAAATGCCGAGAGCAAGGGGCTAGTAACCCCTTCTCCCGTATAAATTACTAAATTTAAGAGAAACTTTCGTTTTTCTTTTTGGACCACCCTGCCTTGGTGGGATACGGCCGGTGTGTTGAAAGAAAGAAAACATACAAGGTTTCAGGTGCGTCTTCCTACTTATACTTACACTTAGGTCACACTACACATACATGTACAAGCACATATATACACACCCCTCTGGGTTTTCTTCTATTTTCTTACTAGTTCTTCTTCTTGTTTATTTCCTCTTATCTCCATGGGGAAGTGGAACAGAATTCTTCCTCCATAAGCTATGCGTGCTGTAAGAGGCGACTAAAATGCCAGGAGCAAGGGACTAGTAACCCCTTCTCCTGTATAAATTAATAAATTTAAAAAGAGAAACTTTTGTTTTTCTTTTTGGGCCACCCTGCCTCGGTGGGATATGGCCAAACCATACCCCCGGCCGGGATTGAACCCGCGGTCATAGAGTCTCAAAACTCCAGCCCGTCGCGTTAGCCACTAGACCAGCTAGCCACAATAAGATTCATCCAACTAGGTATATTTCTACACCATAGGAAGGTTAGCACAGGCACCTCTGTGACCACAAATGCAAGTTTTTACAGACGAATCTCCAGCTAGTGTGGCCGTGACGAACTCTAGCTCAAGTCCCTTCACTGCCGTCAACATGACTCAAGAAATCGTAATGACACGATTGTTTGCAATCGTGTCATTACGATTTCTTGAGTCCAGATATGGCCAGTTTGTTGAAAGAAGAAGTTTACTGAGTGTACCAGGAAAAGTATATGGTAGGGTTATTATTGAAAGAATTAGAGGTAAGACAGAGAGTAGGACTGCAGATAAGCAAGGAGGCTTTAGAGTGGGTAGCAGATGTGTAGATCAAGTGTTTACATTGAAGTATGTATGTGAACAGTATTAGATAAAGGTAGGGTAGTTTTCACTGCATTTATGGATTCAGAAAAAGCATATGATATAGTGGATAGTGGAGCAATGTGGCAGATGTTGCAAGTACACCTACCATCCGACTTACGACCGAGTTCGGTTCCGAGAAACCGGTCGTAAGTCGAAATGGACGTAAGCCGAAGTTTACTACTGAATATCAACATCACATTTTTGTAATGACTTTACTTTATTGTTTTATTTTAGTATTTCATGTTTTACTTTACTTTTTATGCTGTTAGTACTGTATTTTATACTTTAAGGTTTAGGATAAACACTGTGTACAGCACAAATAGTTGTTTATTTCCCAGAAATTTGGCATAAAAAACACGGTCGTAAGTCGAGTGGTCGTAAGTCGGATGGTAGGTGTATATGGAATAGGTAGTAAGTTACTAAATGCTGTAAAGAGTTTTTATGAGGATAGTGAGGCCCAGGTTAGGGTGTGTAGGAGAGAGGTAGATTACTTCCCAGTAAAAGCAGGTCTTAGACAGGGATGTGTAATGTCACCATGGTTGTTTAATATATTTATAGATGGGGTTGTTCTCCATGGGGAAGTGGAACAGAATTCTTCCTCCGTAAGCCATGCATGTCATAAGAGGCAACTAAAATGCCGGGAGCAAGGGGCTAGTAACCCCTTCTCCTGTATATATTACTAAATGAAAAAGGAGAAACTTTCGTTTTTCCTTTTGGGCCACCCCACCTCTGTGGGATATGGCCGGTGTGTTGAAAGAAAGAAGAAAGATGGGGTTGTAAAAGAAGTAAATGCTAGGGTGTTGGGGAGTGGGGTGGGATTAAATTATGGGAAATCAAATACAAAATGGAAGTTGACAAAGTTACTTTTTGCTGATGATACTGTGCTTATGGGAGATTCTAAAGAAAAGTTGCAAAGGTTAGTGGACGGAGTTTATGAGGGTGTGTAAAGGTAGAAAATTGAAAGTGAACATAGGTAAGGTGATGAGGGTATCAAATGATTTAGATAAAGAAAAATTGGATATCACACTGGAGAGAAGGAGTATGGAAGAAGTGAATGTTTTCAGATATTTGGAAGTTGACTTGTCAGCAGATGGGTTTATGAAGGATGAGGTTAACCATAGAACTCATGAAGAAAAAAAGGTGAGTGGTGAATTGAGGTATTTGTGGAGACAAAAAACATTATCCATGGAGGCAAAGAAGGGAATGTACAAAAGTATAGTGGTACAAACACTCTTATATGGGTGTGAAGCTTGGGTTGCAAATGCTGCAGCAAGAAGGCAGCTGGAGGCAGTGGAGATGTCCTGTCTAAGGGCAATGTGTGATGTAAATATTATGCAGAGAATTCGGAGTGTGGAAATTAGGAGGTGTGGAGTTACTAAAAGTATTAGTCAGAGGGCTGAAGAGGGGTTGTTGAGGTGGTTTGGTCATTTAGAGAGAATGGATCGAAGTAGAATGACTTGGAGATTGTGTAAATCTCTAGGAGAAGGAAGGCAGGGTAGGGGTCATTCTCGAAAAGGTTGGAGGGAGGGGTTAAAGGAGGTTTTGTAGGCAAGGGGCTTGGACTTCCAGAAAGCATGTGTGAGAATGTTAGATAGGAGTGAATGGAGATGAATGGTTTTTGGGACCTGACGAGCTGTTGGAGTGTGAGCAGGGTAATATTTAGTGAAGGGATTCGGAGAAACCAGTTATTTTTATATAGCCAGATTTGAGTTCTGGAAATGTGAAATACAATGCCTGCATTTTAAAGGAGGGGTTTGGGATAATGGCAATTTGGAGGGATATGTTATATATGCTTCTAAATTGTTGTATCTGGGTGCCTCTGCAAAGACAGTGATTATGTGTGAGTGAAGGGGAAAGTGTTGAATGATGAAAGTATTTTCTTTTTGGGAATTTTCTTTCTTTTTGGGTCACCCTGTCTCTGTGAGAGACAGCCGACTTGTTGAAAAAAAAAAAAAAAAAAAAAAAAAACTTGAGTGAAAAGACCAAAGCTGTGGGCAAATAATTAACGGGAGTTTCAGAGTCAGCTGCACATCCCAAGACACACAGAAAGTAGTAGGAGTACTTGCACTAATCATTAAGCAGTACACATACCTGCTTTTGTGTCATGCGAGCACGGACAGAAGGCACATTTTGCAACGTATGAAGAATGGAAAGATGAAGCTGAGAATACAAATTAGTGCTTTCTGATGGTCCTAATTTTGCTGAAGTTGCTTTATCAAAAAATCCTTCAGCTTCCATCAGTTTAGGAAGACTTGATCTTCTTCCCTGTGATTCTGAGCAATTATTTGTATTTTCAAAGAATGGAGCTTCAACACACCACCTGAAACACAAACCCAAGAGTTTATACGAGAGTTACAGAGAACAACATTATCTTTGGAAATTAAAATGTTGATGTACTATTAACAGTGACAAGAAGAGAGTAAAAAAACAGGCATAAAATAGTTAGAAAAAGAAAGAAATAACAGGATGTAAATATCTATAGAGCTACTCTATATCTATTTTTCAGAGTAATTTGTGCTCTGAGGAATCCAAATTATTAACAAAAACTATTGGGAGAAGGCTGACTTGTTGAAAAAAAAAAATGAAATGAAATGCCAATTTCTTTCTTATTCTGAAAATTTTTGAACAAAAAAAATAAATACATACAGGAGGGCCCAGCTTTTCATTGTTTCGCCTTACGGCGTTCCGCTAATATGGCGATCTCAAATTATGACCAAAACTTTCTATATGGCAAGTGGTCTTTCAAATACAGCGCAGGCCACCCAGTTTGTTTACATTCTCCATGAGCACATCTCTCTATTATGTAATAAAAATCACTCTTGGGCACATTAAATGTCCAATTTTACATCAATATAGACATTTTCATTAAACCATCTATGATATTTTCTTCAAAATTATATAATTAACACATTACATAGCATATAAACATGCTGTTTATATGCTATGGAGGAGTGGTTGCTGAGTGGAGGGAAAACATTACGTAATACTGATAATAATCACTGATAATAATCACTCTTCGGCACATTAAATGTCTTACTTTATGTTAATATTGACATTTTCATTAATCCATCTATTATATTTTCTTCAAAATTATATAAGAAACATGTTACATAACATATAAACATTTTATGTTTATATGACTTGAAGCAGACGGAGGCGGGATCATAGTGGTACCATAGTGGATGGTACCACTATGATCCCGCTTCCGTCTGCTTCAAGTCACCTCACTACAGTATATAAGCCACGTCTACGGCCCTATGCTGTACATTCTACAAGATTGATGGACTGAACACATCGACTCCAGGCTGAGGGACTGATTACCTCATACTCCTCCTCTCCTTACGCCTTCCTCTTTGTATTGATGATGAAGCCACTGTGTGGCGAAACGTTTCCTGAATAAAGATTCCATATGCTGCATAATGTCTCATCTCAACTTGTCGGTTTTTCAAACCATTCATCACAACTGTCAGACATGCAGCATCATGGGATCTTCTTACAAAGAATTCTTCAACGCTTGTTCAACCTTTGGACAAAGACCTACTTCGACTAGTGATGGTACCACTATGATCCCGCTCCGTCTGCTTCAAGTCACCTCACTACAGTAATATAAGCCACGTCTACGGCCCTATGCTGTACATTCTACAAGATTGATGGAACTGAACACATCGACTCCAGGCTGGGGGACTGATTACCTCATACTCCTCCTCCTTACGCCTTCCTCTTGTATTGGACTGATGAAGCCACTGTGTGGCGAAACGTTTCCTGAATAAAGATTCCCATATGTCATAAGTGTCTCAATCTTCAACTTGTCGGTTTTTCAAACATTCATCACAACTGTCAGACACTGCAGCATCATGGATCTTCTTACAAAGAATTCTTCAATGCTTGTTCAACCTTTGGACAAAGACCTACTTCGACTAGTGATGTACCTATGATCCCGCCTCTGTCTGCTTCAAGTCACCTCACTACAGTATATAAGCCACGTCTACGGCCCTATGCTGTACATTCTACAAGATTGATGGACTGAAACACATCGACTCCAGGCTGAGGGACTGATTACCTCATACTCCCCTCTCCTTACCTCCTCTTTGATTGGACTGATGAAGCCACTGTGTGGCGAAACGTTTCCTGAATAAAGATTCCCATATGCTGCATAAGTGTCTCAATCTAAGACAGAATGTAGGATTGCGGATGAGCAGGGAGGCTTCAGAGTGGGTAGGGGATGTGTAGATCAAGTGTTTACATTGAAGCATATATGTGAACAGTATTTAGATAAAGGTAGGGAAGTTTTTATTGCATTTATGGATTTAGAAAAGGCATATGATAGAGTGGATAGAGGAGCAATGTGGCAGATGTTGCAAGTATATGGAATAGGTGGTAAGTTATTAAGTGCTGTAAAGAGTTTTTATGAGGATAGTGAGGCTCAGGTTAGGGTATGTAGAAGAGAGGGAGACTACTTCCCGGTAAAAGTAGGTCTTAGACAGGGATGTGTAATGTCACCATGGCTGTTTAACATATTTATAGATGGGGTTGTAAAAGAAGTAAATGCTAGGGTGTTCAGGAGAGGGGTGGGATTAAATTATGGGGAATCAAATTCAAAATGGGAACTGACACAGTTACTTTTTGCTGATGATACTGTGCTTATGAGAGATTCTAAAGAAAAATTGCAAAGGTTAGTGGATGAGTTTGAGAATGTGTGTAAAGGTAGAAAGTTGAAAGTGAACATAGAAAAGAATAAATTGATGAGGGTATCAAATGATTTAGATAAAGAAAAATTGGATATCAAATTGGCGAGGAGGAGTATGGAAGAAGTGAATGTTTTCAGATACTTGGGAGTTGACGTGTTGGCGGATGGGTTTATGAAGGATGAGGTTAATCATAGAATTGATGAGGGAAAAAAGATGATTGGTGCGTTGAGGTATATGTGGAGTCAAAAAACGTTATCTATGGAGGCAAAGAAGGGAATGTATGAAAGTATAGTAGTACCAACACTCTTATATGGATGTGAAGCTTGGGTGGTAAATGCAGCAGCGAGGAGATGGTTGGAGGCAGTGGAGATGTCCTGTCTAAGGGCAATGTGTGGTGTAAATATTATGCAGAAAATTCGGAGTGTGGAAATTAGGAGAAGGTGTGGAGTTAATAAAAGCATTAGTCAGAGGGCAGAAGAGGGCTGTTGAGTGGTATGGTCATTTAGAGAGAATGGATCAAAGTAGAATGACATGGAAAGCATATAAATCTATAGGGGAATGAAGGAGGGGTATGGGGTCGTCCTCGAAAGGGTTGGAAAGAGGGGGTAAAGGAGGTTTTGTGGGCTAGGGGCTTGGACTTCCAGCAAGCATGCATGAGCATGTTAGATAGGAGTGAATGGAGGCGAATGATACTTGGGACCTGACGATCTGTTGGAGTGTGAGCAGGGTAATATTTAGTGAAGGGATTCAGGAAAACCGGTTATTTTCATATAGTCGGACTTGAGTCCTGGAAATGGGAAGTACAATGCCTGCACTTTAAAGGAGGGGTTTGGGATATTGGCAGTTTGGAGGGATATGTTGTGTATCTTTATACGTATATGCTTCTGAACTGTTGTATTCTGAGCACCTCTGCAAAAGCAGTGATAATGTGTGAGTGTGGTGAAAGTGTTGAATGATGATGAAAGTATTTTCTTTTTGGGGATTTTCTTTCTTCTTTGGGTCACCCTGCCTCGGTGGGAGACGGCCGACTTGTTGGAAAAAAAAAAAAAAAATAATAATAATAATAATAATATTATTATTATATTATTATTAATAATAATATTATTATTAAAAAGCACTAAACCCACAAGGGTCATGAATTGCTATATATAGAGTAAAGGCATACAAAAAGAATATTTTTCTACAGTTATCCCCCAGTTTGACTAGAGAAAACATAACTCTTCCGACACTATCTACACAGCTGCTTTGTAAACAAATCATGTTTACATCAATTTTTATTCTGTGAGTGTATGTATCATGTTTATATGCTGTGTAATGGGTTTCATATATAATTTTGAGGAAAATATCATAGATGGATTAATGAAAATGCCTATACATGTATTGATGTAAAATAAGACATTTAGTGTGCCAAAGAGTGGTTATTATTAAGTAGTATTGGCGTCATGAGTAGAGAGAGACTTAGCGATTTTAATGTGTACCTGCACACCAGCACAGTGTGTAAGTATATTTAGGTACAGGTACACATAAGTACAGGACCCCCGCATAACGATTACCTCCGAATGTGACCAATTATGTAAGTGTATTTATGTAAGTGCGTTTGTACGTGTATGTTTGGGGGTCTGAAATGGACTAATCTACTTCACAATATTTCTTATGGGAACAAATTCGGTCAGTACTGGCACCTGAACATACTTCTGGAGTGAAAAAATATCGTTAACCGGGGGTCCACTGTATAATTATCAGAGTACATATAAAATATGCAGTAACTTTAAAACGCTTGAAATTTTGGAAAGTTTCCTGACATAATAGATGTGGTCACGGAAAATGTAAACAAACCGGGTGGGGGGCGCCGTATTTGAAAGACCACTTGCCATATAGCAAATTCTGGTCATAATTTGACATTGCCATATTAACGGAACGCCGTAAGGCAAAACGCCATAAAGCGGGGCCTTACTGTATACATTTTATCGCTCTAGGGAGCTTAATGTCGTAGTAGGTGGGAGTGGCCAGGCAGGATGCCATGCCTTCCACACGACTTTCTACTTTTCACCTCTCACCCTACATTAAGACCATTAAGACTACAAATATTTAAAGGTTAGTAATGCGTGTGCTGTATATGCATTTTATCGCTCTAGGGAGCTTTAAGCATCGTAGTATAGTATGTGTGGGTGGGGTGGCCAGGAGGGCTACCACACCTGACTTTTTAGAGTAAATACTACTCACCTTTTGCCCTACATTAAGACTACAAATATTTTGAAGTAAATAATGAGTGTACTGTGTGTGTATTTTACTTTTTAAAGCCTATTTCTATTGCTAACTTAATATGTTAGTGTAAACTTGTTATCTGGCATTTATATGCATTTATAAATGGAAAAAATGGAGTTCTGCTTTCCGGCGAAGTCTGCTTTCCGGCAGTAGCATGGAACCTAACCTGCCGAATAAGTGGAGCCCTACTGTATATATTTGCTAATATTTTCAATATTCAAGGAAAAATTCTGAGAGAATTTATGAACTGAAATTCAAAATTTTCTTGATAAAATAACGCAGTGAACTGTTGGGAAACCATTCTTACTTACTATGAAAAATTCTAAGTAAGAGATTTATTTCCTACAAGGCAATCTCTACACATTGTCAGCAAATTCAGTTCTACTTCAAGTTCAGACTCATTAATTACTTGCCTCAACACACTCCTGTTCACACACCACTAATTCCTGCACTATGTTATCTAAATTATTATGCAAATTGCTCTCTAAAAATCTGTGGTCACAATTGTGGCACAATTTAATAAGGAGCCATTTTACATTCCAGGATCTTCTGAAAAAGATTTGGGAAAATTTAAAAAATTATTTACAGTATATGACAAAATGAACAATGAAGAGAGGCCACCACTACCATAACTCTGCTCCTGTAACTACAAATTGGTAAGCACAAATTAATATTAAGTATTCACATGAATTAACAACAAATGCTAATGGGTGCAGCTGGGTCTAGACAGACAAGGCTAGCACAAGAACTGCTACCATCAGGCCCAGTGAGCTACAAGGTAAGGAATGTACTTAACTGAATCATACAAGAGCTATACTAATTTATTCTTTAATGTCTCACTTCTTAAATCAAACTTTCATAAATGAACAATTGTAGGAACTGACTATATTTATATTCATAACCAAAATGGAAGGGATATTGTATGATTATTAGTAAAAAGGATATGTGAATGGGTGGGCGTAACTAGGAAATACTTGAACAAGCTTAGGCTGAGTCCCAAATTTGCTAATTGTCTTTAGTTGAAGTTACAGTGTGACATTCATGTGTTTTGTCTAGTGATCCTGATGAGGCATTATCACCACTTACTTCATGAGGGGTGCAATAGGGGGTACGGCTGTCATGGGAAGAGAAACCCCTGGTAGTGAATGGGTAAGTGGAGCTAGGGCAAGATGAGGAGGAAGGCCAGGGACTCCTTTCAACCACCAAACAACAGTGCTTACAAGGGTTTCTGGTGGACGTTCACATATCTCCCCGCTCCCTGAAATTACAAGTTAAGTTTCTTAAAAGCCTTCCTGATCTACAGCACTTCAATTCTTCTTCTTCATATTTTCTTCTTCTTCTTCTTCTTCTTCTTCTTATATTTGTGGGGAAGCATTAAACCCATGAGGATAGCTCCAATTCCTTGGATCAACACCTCTTCACCAGCATCAAGGCCCCTTTCTTGAAGGAATTAGTACTTCAGTATAAGTAGAATAAGATGGTGACATAAATAAACTATTACTATTTCTAACATACCAAGAATATTTAACAAAACAAAATGAATCCATTGATCAATGGATAAAGTACCACAAAAATCCTGGTTTCAATATGTACATCAGTTTGGTGCAGGTATACATGAGTGAGATAACCTCTCTGTAGAGCTTGGTTCAAGCTCACATTACACCATTTTTACACAAGTTATTAGGCATTTGTTTATGTTCCATTGCATTTCTTTGTTGCCTTGCATTACTTTGTACAACATGTAAATTCAATTTCCCTAAGTTCTTTCATGATCTAGTGTGAAATATCACGATCTTGTATATTTCTTTGTGTTTCGTCAAAATCCTTATTATGCCCTCCTTTATTATCTTCCTTTGGTTTACCATATTTCATGATCCTATGAATTATCTTATGATTCTGTAAGTAGTGATGAATGGTTTGAAAAACCGACAAGTTGAAGATTGAGACACTTATGCAACCTATGGGAATCTTTATTCAGGAAACGTTTCGCCACATAGTGGCTTCATCATGAAGCCACCGTGTGGCGAAACGTTTCCTGAATAAAATTCCCATAGGTTGCATAATTGTCTCAATCTTCGATTCTGTAAGTATCCATTTGACCTTCAGTTTTCCTGGTTATATTCCATTATATACAGCACATTGTAGGTAGTAGGTTGGTAGACAGCAACCACCCAGGGAGGTACTACCGTCCTGCCAAGTGATGTAAAACGGAAACCTGTAATCTTGCACAAACATGCAAGATTTCAGGTACGTCTTGCTACTTCTACCTACACTTAGGTCACACTACACATACATGTACAAGCATATATATACACACCCCTCTGGGTTTTCTTTTATTTTCTTTCTAGTTCTTGTTCTTGTTTATTTCCTCTTATCTCCATGGGGAAGTGGAACAGAATTCTTCCTCCGTAAGCCATGCGTGTTGTAAGAGGCGACTAAAATGCCGGGAGCAAGGAGCTAGCAACCTCTTCTCCTGTATAAATTACTAAATTTAAAAAGAGAAACTTTTGTTTTTCTTTTTGGGCCACCCTGCCTTGGTGGGATATGGCCAGTTTGTTGAAAAAAAAAAAAACATACAGTACATCTTTTCATTTCTAACAATTCTTTCATATATACCATGTCTGTGGTGAAACAAAGGAGAACATAGGGAAATGAAGCAATGTGTATAAACATGATCGATTAAGACAGAGATGAGGATTTTCTCATTGAAAAGATCTGATGTCATAAAAACAAACTGAACATACTGTACTATATGACAATGAAATTTTCTCCAAAATCCACCACCTCTTGATAGAGAATGACCAAACTCATACTGTATATACCTCATCACAAGTTGGCCATCTCCCACCAAGGCAGGGTGACCCATAAAGAAAGAAAATCCCCAAAAAGAAAATGCTTTCATCAGCATATTAATGTAAAATAATTATACTTTGTTACCATGTATGTTTTATGATAAGATTTCATTAAGAGTGGATGGCCTTGAATGGCAAATACCACTTGTTCCTTATATGTATATACTAACATTTAGGTAATGGTAAGTAATTACAACTGATAGCATCACTAGATGATAGAAGCCAACTGGTTTAATGCACAAAGCTATTTCAGTTGCTTAATTCTATAAAATAAAAGAATTTGTTAATACTGATGAAGGAGACTTACCAACTTTGGCATAGAGCTGTGAGAGTGTTGTAATAAGATTAGCTGTGAAGAGAGGAGCCATAGTGGGCAAGGCACGAAGTGCTGCAGCAAAATGTGGTGGAGAGGATGAGGTGAACTGGAAATAGTCCTGTACTAAGCCTCGGCACACTTCTCCACTCCAGCTACTGAGGCAACATACTTGCTGTCACAAGAATAAAAAAAAATCCCTATAAGGAATTTGTCCCATTCATATTTTCATGTTAAATGTGTGTTATTATATTCACAGGGTAAATACTAAATCATAGGTGCTCACAGGAAGGGATAAGAGGAGGCATTTTCTCCTCTTGCATTTCCCAAGAAAATGGCATTTATAGGTCACAAAGACTGGCTATTGCTGGCTATCTATCTCTTGTTAGCAAGTTAAATACTATTATATAGACTGACATACAGCTTTCAACTGATGAGTTTTTAAGCAGATTTTTTGCATCTAACAAAAGTACGGTTTAACTCCTGAAAATACTTTTGTGGTTGCCAGTGTGCTAAACTCATAAGAACTGCACCTGTATGAAAAGACAAAACTGCAAGGCCCCAAGATAAGTACAGTACAATCATTCCTTCAAATTTGCAGGCTTTCACATTTGTGGATTTCAATTATCCAATGTTTTTACTGATGAGCAATTGATGGACAACTTCAATTATCCAATGTATTTATCTGATTTGATAGCTTTTCTATACCAATAATTTTTTTTTATTTTAGTCAACATTTCTTATAAATGCCAATATTATATTAAAGGTAGATGGTCTCTGAAACACAAAATAAACCCAAATCTGCAACAAAATTTGTTGTTCCAACTTAATTACCTTAATCATTTGCAGTTTATAATTTCTCAGGACCTCCAGGAATGTAACTCCCTATGAATGTTGAGAAACGACTGTATTAGGAGGTGGTGATAGAGTATAAGTGATTCAGACATCTAAACTGCACACACCTACACACAAATTCTTGTGCTCCATTAGTCAAACTAATGATATTAGTGCTTGTTACTGATATAAAAAGTGCATATATATGGAGTATATGGAGTATAATAAAATTAAGGAGTAAAAGAAAAAACATCAATAGGTTGTAATATAACACTTGGGGGTAGCAGAAAGTGGCAATTTAATCTGACAAAAGCTCATATTTACATTTAAAAAGTGGCCATGAAGTTTCTATAAACAATATTATAGAAAAGCAAAACTGACAGCCAAGGTGGTCATGCACTTATCACATGCAGACACGAAACTGCTTGGTTGGCATACAACAAGACTTCATTAAATATTAGAAACATCAAACACAAGCATACCTTGCTGAGCAGTCAGGGTTGGTTCCAAGATCTGAGAACATTATGGAGACAACATTCAATGGGGTACAGTACATAAAATCCTTTCCTAATGCATCAGCTGCCTCCTACCAAGGTAGGGTAACACAGAAATGAATTCATATTCACATAATTCATTCAGCACCTGTCTTTCCAGAAGTACACAGACATCACAGTTCAAATGATCCTCTGAAATGCAACATCCCCTTAGATGATGATGTTGGGATATCAAAGGCATAATTCAAAGGGCAAAGGAGGGGTTGCTGAGGTAGTTTGGGCATTTAGAGAGGTCGGGGAAGAATAGGATAACAAGGAGTAAAAATCTGAGGAGGAAACAAGGAGGGTTAAGGGTTATCCCAGGAAAGGCTAAGAGAAGGGGTAAAGGAGGTTTGGACTGGTAGGGGCTTGAACATCTAGCAGGTTTGTATCAGTTATCATGGGTGGAGACAAGTGGCTTTAATGGTTGAACATTGTGTTGGGGTGTGAGCAAGGTAACATATATGAAGAGATTCAGGGAAACCAGTAAGCTGTAGTCCTTGAGGTGGGAAGTACAGCTCCTGCACTTTGAACGAAGGGTGAGGAGTCATTTGAATTGTGATATCCATGTACTTTTGGCAAGGCAGCAACTGAATGACGGTAAATGCATTTCCTTTTTTTTTTTGGTCACCTTCCACTGGTCCTTCCACTGGTGGGAGAAGCTGGTGTGGTAAAAAAGTATACTATTTGTGAACATATTTCAAAGAGTAACTAAATAAAAACCAACCTGCATCCACACTGCTGTGGCTTCTAGCACAGACACATTGTGCGTAGCAATGGCTAGAGACACCAAAGCTGAGAGTATGCGGAGTTTGTGTGGTGTACGAGGATCATGTGAAGATGGATGGAACAAAGTGATAAAGAGAGAATTGCGAGCAGCAGTATCCACTATCTTTCCTAGGTGCTGTCCCAGTTCTCGTACTACTACCAGTTCTTCCACTGGTCCTACAGCCTGTTTCAGAGAAATTTATCATAGTATTCAGAGCAAACAAAAAGTTACTTTTTTTAAACATTTATTTAAAGGACAAAAAGGCATAATACTGTGACTTGAACAATACATAAATAACTTGCACCTAGGAGAAAGAAACTTATGACAACATTTCGGTCTGACTTGGTGACTAGTTAATGGCCCAAGTCATACTGAAAAGTTGTCGTAAGTTTCTTTCTCCTAGGTGCAAGTTATTTGTGTATTTACTTAAAGATAAATGTTACTACATTAAGATGTGGCACTCTTCAAAAACTCAAAACATGATCTCTTTCTCTCTCTCTTTTGTATTGCCAATCATGTAATATGCAGCCTCTCCTCACTTAGTGACGTACTCGCTTACTGACAACTCTGACTTACAACGGGCTCTCTGACTGATATTCATACCTAAATAATGTATATTAGAGCTGATTTCCTCTATTATGTGTATTACAATATACAGTACACTACTTTATAAACATTTAAAAATGCACTAAAAATGTTATAAATGGTGCAAAGGTGACATTAAAACAATATCAAGATGGTTGACACAAACCCACAACCATTAGCGATGAATTCGTTTATTGATGTGGCCTTAGGAATGGAACTCTGTCGTTAAATGAGGAGAGGCTGTATACAGTAAATGAAATTCTAATTTCCAGAATGATGGTGAGAGTATCCTACTAGATTTATTGTACACCATTCTCTCCTAAACTTTAAGTGTTAGTTTAGTATACTGCATATCTAAAGAGATTCCTAAGACTGCCACTTCACTTCCTCACTAACCCTGTTCTTATAGATCACAAGATCCATTTCTTATTAATATACAAGACTGTCTGCATTCTTTATTATCCTTAATGCTTTTTGTAGCTAATTCATTCCTTCTCTATTCCGCAAGGTTCAAAAACTTCCACTATGATTTTCTCATTTAATTTCACTGAAAAAAAGACTTATTGCAAAAAATAATGCTCAGCTTTACAAAAATCACTTTTTTATTTTACCTCATTTCATTTATAATTTATGTTTATGTATTACTCTCTTCTAACACCTATACAAATTTTAAAGCACTTCAAAAGAAGCGCCAAATAACAGTTTAAAAATTTCTTAGTGAAATAATTTTCCATTAGTGTTCATCATTTATCTATTCATTCATCTATCAGTTGTTACCATGTACTGTAGTACAGTACTTCATAGTTGCTTGAATCAAGGCATTTTAACTTGTCTTTATTAGCTGAAACTAAACCCATAAAAAACTAGTAAAAATTTGTTTTTGCTCAAGAGCTGTTGATATACAGTAGGTCCCCATATATGAACTAATGTGCTCCTGAAAATCATTTGTTAATAGAGTAGTATTTGGAACTCTAAACCTATTTCCCCACAGACACTAATGTTATAATCAGGATGTGTTCACCAACCAAAATACAAGTTTCCCTCATTTTATGTTGTAGTGGTGAATTCTATATCTATCATAATTTAATTAACAGTTCTAAAAATGAAAATGAAAACAAGGTATTGTATTTAGATGAATTAGTCTCTCTCTTCCCTTCCTCCCTCCTATTTCTTTCTAATGTTCCTTTACCTCCCTCTCTCCCTCTCGCACTCCCTTACTCCCACTTTTTTTTCAATGCATCTGACACACTTTTTACAAATGCTCTCCTTTCCTCTTACTGCTATAAGAGGGAGGAAGAGCAAAACAATTTATTGAAAATAATTTTGCTTGAATTTTTGCAATGATTGTACAGTATCTAAAGATCTGCATTCCTAAGTACAGTAATTAGTTTCAAAGTGCCATGATCATAAGTGCAGGTGATTTTGTCTGGAAAAAGGACACAAGTACAACTAATGTGACATTTATTATGGCAACGCTTCACTCTCCAGGAGCTTCGTCAGGCCGTTACAAACAATACATGGACACAGAGGGTATACATAGGCTTTGAGTGAGGTGTAACACTAGGTGGTGGTAGTAGTAGTAGTAGCAGTTGGTAATTCTACCACCATTAATACAACAGGTGATTTTAAGTTTGATGCTTGAAAGCCAGGAACCTATTGTATATCCAGTTAACAAATTCATGGATTTATAGCCATCCTCCAAAATATTCCCTTTTCCAATATACTGTACATTATAAAGTAGAATACATAAAATATATCAACAAAAAAATTAGGAAAATAATGTGAATAAGATACAGTACGACACTCACCCTTATTTTAGAAGACCTTGAGTCTCTACAGCAGAATATATATCTATCCATGATATGCTGTTGAACATCATGTAGATGAGGAGCAGGGGGCATAGCCAACACCTCCTCTGTTGGAGATATCATAATTTAATAGAAAAAATTAATGACTTCAAATACATACACAATACGTAACAGCTTTCACAAGAAAGATAGAATAAAACCACAAGCAAAATATCAGAATTTTGACATTTGTTAAATCAAGGGTTTACCGTAATTTGAATTCTTAGTATTTTATTACCTAATTTGCGTAGACCTAGTCGTACACATGGTGGGAAGTCACTTAACTTCAATTCACTCAGATCAACAGACATGTTCACGTTTCTTCATTAATCTGCAAAAAAATTTAATATGGTAAGCAGAGTATTTGGTGTGGAATTATACTTAATTATTCTGAACTCATGCACAATAATCACAACCTAGTTCAATATTTTTTTTCTTCTGTTTAAAGAAATTATTCATGGTATTATTGTATATAAAACACTGACAATATTTTGATGAAAAATAATCAAGGTATGTTGTACAGATTCAGCCCAGATTTAAAACCGAATCCTTCAGTAATGAACCAGTGGAACTACCATTTGAACCATGAACCAATCCCCAATTTCTTGGATCAAGAGTCTTTTATCAGCATCAAGGCAACTCCCATGATTTAAACTAGGGCTGAAACTACTTAAAACTAAAGCTTTATATAGCTGTAAAGCTCTATTAGCTTGAATTTTATTATATAACCGTTAATTAATAGCAACCAAAGAGTAATTTCTGTGTTTAATACAACATGTATTACATTAATTTAATTTAGAAGAGATGTCTGTTAAAAATAAATAAAAGTTTCCAGAGAATGAATAAGTAAGTTTTTTTCAGGTTTATTCAGGTACAGGTACACATAAATAGTTACATAAATTGTCATACATAGCAGCATATATATAGATTACCTAGGATGACCCAAAAGTTTTCTCAAGTAGCACTTCTACAAAGAACTTTTTTTTCAGGATAACGTGCACTAACTACCACTATGTAAGGATATATGCAGCTTAATTAAAGGTCTCTTCTACTTCCGAGGACTGCAAGAGTTGTAGTGTGGTGGGACAGTTCTCTTGTTGTTGTTGTTGTTGGGGTTTATAGGGCCACTGCCAGTGTACGCCGTCCAGCCTTCCAGTCAGGGCCTATGAGAGGCCCCACCATATAAAGGACCCCAATGGAAATAAGTCACTCTGTCTGACTTTTTTGGGTTATCCTAGGTTCTCTACACATATTCTGCTATGTATGATAATTATATGTAACTGTATCTGTGTATACCTGAATAAACTTACTTACTTACTAGAGGAGGGTTCAACCGGTACATTGATCCGGGGATCGGCTGTGAATTTCTGAAAGGGACCCCATAGCCGTAGACGTTTCATTTTTTTTTTGTAATTTCAACCATTTTTAGTTTATTTAGAAAAATAATTATGTATAATTCACTTAGACTGGAGGCCTCAGCCTGCCCCCAGAGGCCCCAGAGGCCCCAGAGCAGTCTTGTTCCGCCTTGCAAAATTTCTCTTGGAGACACTGCTTCCAGTGCCCGAAAATGAAACCTCGACCAAGGTGGAAGGAAGTTGGCTAATAGCTCTACTATTATATGTCTGCCTGCACAAGGCCTGTCATAGCATGAACCAGTTCAAGAAAAGAGCCAAAAGGTACCTAACGAATGGAGCGACAGAAAGGGAGGAGAGTGATTTCTGGTATAACTAACATACATGTCCCTATTACTGATCTATTCCCTTTTTCATCTAAATGAAAATAACTCAGTTTACCTTATTCGTAGTATATCTCCTTTTAATGTTTAAATAATAAGATATTACAGGGACCCCAATGGAAATAAGTCACTTTGACTTTCTTGGTTATTGTAAGTAATCTACACATATGCTGATATGCAAATAAGATTACAATAAACAGGTGATATCATAATATGCAGAACAATCACTGTGAAAAATAGTAGAATTCCAAGCGTTTTCGTGATTTTTCAAATTATTTGATTAGTTGGACCCCTTTGCCTAATTATTATTATTATTATTATTATAAAAAAGAAGCGCTAAGCCACAAGGGCTATACAGCTCCCTTTGCCTAAGCCACTGAAGAGCAGGACACTCATTCCCCTACCAGAATGAATTTACTAAATAATAAGCATTAAAAAAAAGAATGTTGAGAATAATTTTTTTTCAAACAGAAGTTTGCGAAACATTATCAAAAGGGAACTAGTAAACGAGTTTGAAGTAGAAGATACAGATAGAAACTAGTAGATCCATTACACATATCAGTGAAATGTGTCAGGTTAAACATATCTGTGTAAAAGTATCAAGGTCAGTAGACTGCAAGATAATGTTACTGCTAGACTAAGGCTAGGTTATAAGTATCTTTCGCAGTACTGTTTGTCAAAGACATAAAATGTAAAGTGTGTGGACAGAGACAGGGTCATACATTGGAGCATTATATCTTATAGTATGACTTTGTAAATGGCCCAAGTCGGACCAAAACGTCGTCGTAGGCTCGTCTCTCTCATGTACGGGTTATGTGTGTATTGTTCCAGTCACGGTATTGTGCATTTTTGTTCTTTATAGTGTCAACGCATCCAACCTTGAGAGACACCTCCATACAAACCTTAAAGATATGGACAAACACCTACATTGTTAAGGATAAACTTGTGAGTTCATTACCTTGTACCTAGTTCAGCCATCAAAACTTTGGAGCCCGGTCCCTGGACCCATTGTGTACCTCTGTAATCTGTAAATACCTTTGTACCTTGTCATGATTGTGACTAGACCTACCTGGAGTTCATTGCCTTTGTAAATTGTGAGTTCTTTACCTTTGTAAATTGTGAATTCATTACCTCTGTAACTTGCTCAGCTATCAAAACTTTGAGGCCCAGTCCCTGGACCCATTATGTACCTCTGTAATCTTTTGACTACCGCCTACAGGATGGGTATGGGGTGCATAATAAACATATTAAACTAACTATTAAACTGTTAAGGATAAGATATCTAACATCTTGAGGCTGTATCCAAATTTTGCATCGATTAGATGAATGAACGGTAATAAGATTTTTTTTTTTTTTTGAGATTGTATTCCGTACCGTATTGTGTATATTAAGTATAAGAATTAATTGTAAAATATAAAATTACTATTGTTTCTTTCTGGTGATGTGACAATGCTCAGTTGGGGGTTGACAGACCCATTGTAACCTCTGTAATCCTGTTTTTTTTTTTTTTTTTTTGCGCCACTGCTGATAGGATGAGCTGCGGGTGCACAATAAGCTAGCTGCTTAGGCGACCCAACTAAAAACCATCTGAGTCAGCAATCAGATTCCCACCAAAACCGTAAAATATTCCCTGATCTGAAAAATAAAGCTGGTGGATAGTGCCCTGGAAGAATAAGATAAAGACCCAATGATACTAAACAAATTATTCCCCCAAAAAATACGCCACAAAGGGGTAGGTCGACATGTAGTGTGTCCAGGGACTAGGCCCCATACAAATAATAATAATAATAATAGTAATAATTTTAAATTCATAGTACGTAAATATAATACAACAATTTAAATGTCTGTCGTGTGCATAGCATTTTGAGCGAATAAGTAAGTTTTCGGAAATAAAAACACTTAGGTACAGTTCAGGACATTTATTAGAGGAAACACTTTGCCAGGAGAGGCTTCCTCAGTCTTAATACAGACAACTAAGAAGGTATAATGAGAGAACAGGTGACACGAAGCCAGAGTAATGACGTAAGATGGTGGGCATCACGTGAAGGTAGGAGTCATATTGGGCAGCTTTCTGTCTGCCAGGAGTGTGCATACAGTAGGGTATGCTATAACGAACGGCTTATATAACGAATATTTACATAACGAGCTATTTTTCCCTATAAAACTGAAAATAATAAAAAGTTCAAAAGGATACTACAGAGGAACTGCTTGCATGAGTCAACAAAGAGAACTAGGAAGGATGATTACCCTCCCACTTCTCAGGAATTCTCTCCTCTGCCTCTTGTCCTGCATCCTCAACACTAAGGTAGATAAACTACAGTATTTTTTTATTATTTATTGTACTAATTTATTATTTTTTATTATAAGTATTAATGATATTTATTCTAGGAGTTTAAATGCATATTTATGCAATTTTTTTTTTTACAATTTTATATTATATTTTTCATTGTTAAGTAGTTGTATTTGAGGTCCTAGAACGGATTACTCCTATAACGAACGAACGCTATAACGAACGAGGTTCTAAAATCAATTGGATTCGTCATAACATACCCCACTGTATATTAAAACTGCTGAACTTTCTGTAGGATGCTGTTTGTAACTGCAATTAAGACGGCCTCCATACACTTTTGTCTATAAAGATCACTTTCACGAATGACTAATTTGGCTTCTCGATCCTTCATAATGTATGATTGAATACTGCTGCGTTGTGGCCCGGTGGTCTGGTGGCTAAAGCTCCCGCTTCACACACGAAGGGCCCGGGTTCGATTCCCGGCGGGTGGAAACATTTGACACGTTTCCTTACAGCTGTTGTCCTGTTCACCTAGCAGCAAATAGGTACCTGGGTGTTAGTCGACTGGTGTGGGTCGCATCCTGGGGGACAAGATTAAGGACCCCAATGGAAATAAGTTAGACAGTCCTCGATGACGCACTGACTTTCTTGGGTTATCCTGGGTGGCTAACCCTCCAGGGTTAAAAATCCGAACGAAATCTTATCTTATCTTACACAGTTGTTACGGTCATCACAGCTACGTGCATGTTCGTATTTACAGGTCGTAAGTTCCAAAGATCTTGAGTTTTCTACCCCACACAATATATGGTGCTGCCAGTCAGAAAAGTGGCACTTAATGTATCCAAGAAACTCGACCATAAACTTAGTAAAAAAAATACTGGCTACTCGATATCCATAAAGAAATTAGTGCACGAATATAAGTGTGGAAAATTGCATTTACTTGGATGTATAATTATATACATAGCAGTAAATGAACAATGATAACTATTATTTATCAGTTAGACAAGTAGGAATTTGGGACACTTAGGTCGCAAAAAATGTCCCCCTTCGATACCTACCACTGTCATATCCACAAGTTGCTCTGGACCTATTAATTAAATGAAATATACATACACCAAGAATACTGGTAAATATATAAATTTGTGGACTGTATATTAAAAATAATAAATGGTTATATATATACACAATTACATAACAGAAGGAAAATATATCTTAATATCACTCACCAGTTTGACTGGAGATTAATGTGTATCATACTCAGAACCTCACTCTAACTAAATCTATGAAAATAATGCTGGCCAGAATTACACACAAATCTAGAGAGCTTATCTGAGGTTCCTGGAGCTGTCTTGTCCAGTCGTCTGATATCTCAAATTATGCAAGAATGCACATCCACCAATTTCGCCTCCTATTTGAGAGGTGTCAACACAATTTTAACCTCTAGAGCTCGAAAATTCTTCCCATTACACCAACGTTTGTACAAAATTCAAAACCAAGATGGCCAGTCCCCTTCTGCCCAGACGCAGGCTTTCCGTTTTCTATGACATAAATATTATTAAATACAGTATGGCCATCTATTTACATATAACTACTGTATTTCTGGAAAATATATACAGTATTTTCCACAATAAGAGCGACTGTATCACTTGTGAAGGAGTATGCATAATACCCTGTGAGGAAGGAGGGTAGAAATACGTAGGTGAAACAGCTAGTGTGTGTACTGAACAATATGTACTCACCTATATGTGGTTGGAGGGGTTGAGTCATAGCTCCTGACCCCGCCTCTTAACTAGTCGTTACTAGGTGTATGTGTGTGTGTGTGTTTTATGACGAGTCATTAAGGAGGAAAATCACTTATAGGGTAACATTATAATGCTGGAGGGTCTTGAGCCAGACGTAGTTGGTGGCACCCTGGCCGATCTGTCCCTCCAGGTCGTGGAGGAAAAGGAAGGTACCGTTGTGGTACTCAGGTCGCAGCGACATAGGTATCACCTGGCTGCGACGCCTGCAAGAGACACAACAATAATGTAGGTGCTGAAGCCAACGGAAATGATACCAGTGGAGTAAAAGATTAACTATATACAAAACAAGCTTTTACTGGAACATAATTTCACTGTATAGAACATGTATCACCTCAGGAGTTGATGGAACCTGTGGAAAATTTTGATGTAATTTTCCCAGATTTATATATATGTACACTGATTTCACCCTTAGAAATTTGGTGTGTTGTGGGGGAGGGTGTTGCAAGTACTGCCGGGGGGAGGGGGAAGAGTGAGACGCTAGTTTGGAGATTGTAAGTGCGGTGATAAACTGTCTAGCATAATCAAGCTTCATCGACGACAAATTAAATTGGATCGGTCTCAGACGAGCAGAAAGTAATCCTTGAATACACTATACTTCGAACTGGGAAGAAAATAGTGAAGGAACTACTAAACCACAGTGGATATACGGTGAAATAAGGTGTTCGCCATATTGATATCCCGGAGTGCGATCGCATGTTAATTTGGCGTTAATTTTCGATAGTTTCGGAGGTTAAATGGGGCTCAAGCCTCCCAAATAGAAACAAAGCAAATCGGAAATATCGTCCTGCTGAATGCGCAACTACGGTAACTTGGCAGGACTTCGAGAATGGATGGTGAAGGGGGAAGATAAAGAATGCTGTCTTCATACCCACAGTTAAGTATATCCGTCTTTCTTTATAGATAGTTGACTGGCCAATTTAGTGTCTTTGTATTTAGGCAGGTTGTGGGTGATGCAGTGACAGTTGAGCGACCTCCAGAGAAAATTTGGTAAGTTTCAATTAATTTGTAATATTGTTAATGATAGTGTACCCCTCCCCCCCTCATCCTGCAAGTCCACCCTTTTCAATAAAATTTTATACCAGAACTACTGGTTATGTTTGTTAAATATAATATTTTTTTTTAGGTCTCGGTAATATGAGCGTGTATGAGAGTGGTGGGTATCGAAGGGAGACTTCTGGTGACCTAGTGCCTCAAAATTCCCACATGCCTCAGAAGTGCAACAATTGTTAAGTAATAGTTGCCTTAGTTTTTTTTTTTTTTTTTTTTTTCAACAAGTCGGCCGTCTCCCACCGAGGCAGGGTCACAGGCCCTGAGCTGCTTTGGGGATTAGCGTGGACGGTTACAAAGCATGGCTTGCTTCTGCAGTGTTTTAAAAATTGAGATTGGAGAGTTGAAGGAGGAGGTCTTGCTTCTCCAGGAGGAGATTAAGAGGCTGAAGGTCCACCTCAATGGGTCTGGGAGAGAGTGTGAGGTGGCTGGAGTTGTGGGAAATGAGGCTTCTAGCAGTGAGGTGCAGTCTGTCTCTCGCTGTGAGGAGGCTGTAGGTGGGGAGGTAGCAACGGCTACCAGCAGTGAGGTGCAGCCCAGCACCTGCTACAAGTGGCGAGTGGTTCACAGTAATGGGAGGCGCATCAGAGTAAGGAAAGTTACGAGTGAAGATCTGAAGGTAGGAAATCGCTTCTCTGTTCTTCAGGATGAATGTACTTCAGTGGCCAGTGAAGGTAAGGGTACTACTGCCCCTGCTAATGGAGGTAAGCGCATTCTTGTGGTTGGTGACTCTCAGGTAAGATATATTGACCGTGCTTTTTGTAATGGGAATAAGAAGATGAGAGATAGAGTGTGCTTCCCTGGAGTGGTGTTGGGGACATAGTCAACGGGCTGGAAAATACATTCAGGAATGGGAACAAGCCCATTATCTGTCTCAGTGTGGTGGAAATGTATTGGAGGCTGGGAGAGAAGAGCTGCTAGATAATTACAGGTCAGCAAAATTCTTTAATCAAAGGGAGGGACCCCAATCTATGTAGCATCTTCCCTAAAGGGAGTAAAAAATGAATGGTTGTTGGGGCAATTTGGTGAAATTGCTGGCTGACAGATACGAAAGGGAAAACTTGCAATCCCATTCATTGACAACTGGAGCAACTTTAGGGCAAACTATATTTATGCAAGGGAGGGGGTACATCTCCTGGGGCGGGGGTGGTAGCACTTGCAGACTCGATTGAGAAGGCCTTTGGTGAAATCCCATGATTTTAAACTGATAGAAAAGAGGTAGGGGTGTTGTGGGAAAAAACAGGTTGCAACACTGGGGGTTGAAACAGGCATTCAGCTAAAGTTATAAAAAAACAATAGATGGGTCAGCAAAAAAAGGGGGGACAGCAGAGGGCACAAGAGAAAGCTCCTTAAGGTTTACTATACATAGCAGGAGGTAAGAAATAAGATAGATAGCTAAGATTAAATTGAAAAGTGCAGGAAACATAATATTATTGCAAAAAGAACCTGGTAAATTTAAAAAGATAGATGCCCTCTGAATGTCACATAAAAGGGCTATAAATTATTCCCACTGACGGGGTCAACGGGAAAAAGGTGGTGGAGTACGATGTATGTCAGAGACAATATAAATTTTTGTGTCAGCAAGATAAAAAATTAGAAGGTACCACGATCGTTTGGTTCAGTTTCTCGGGGGTCGAGAAAAACTAATTTTGGGTGTGATTTACAGGGCCCCAAATCTTGATAGGGAGTGCAGTAAACTTCTATGGGACAAAATTCGAAAAGGCATCTACAAACAAAAAATGTTGTGCTAATGGGAGATTTCAACTATAACGTTTGACGGGAGCAATTTGACGGGAAATTTAGTCGGGTACTTTTTTGATCGATCCGGGATTGTTTTTCAAAAAGTTTTGACAGACCCAAATAGGGAAATAAACCCCTTGACTTGGTTCTTCCCCAGTAGGGAAACACAAAATTAAAAATCTTGAGTTAATGATGACTTGAGAAAGTGATCAAAAACACTCTTTTTAAAATATATCAGGGAAATTTCCCCCCTAATAATGGCAATCAATTTCTCTGTCCTGACTTCCGCTTGGGTGATTTCTAGGACTGAAAAATTACTTAGGGGGGTGAATTGGAATGACCTGACAAGGGGTCAGGTAGGTGGTATGGATGCCGATATGACGCTTTCCGGGGCATAGTTTAGCTGCTAGTCAAATTATGCCAAGTAGGGGAAAACAGATCAAACAAAAATGATCCTAAAGGATGAACAATAGATTAAAATATCAATTTGGGAAAAAAAGGCATATTGGAAATCAAAAGAGGAGAGGGGGAATTAAGAAATCGATATATTCAGTTAAAGAGAGAAATAAAAAAAGGAATTAGAAAAGCAAAAAGAGATTAAGGGGTTTAAAATTTCAAGAGATTCGAAGACTAACCCAAAAGGATTTTTTAGGTATAAGAAGTAGATCAGGGACAAGATAGGCCCACTCAAAAATTCCCGGGGCGCTCACTGACAGTGAAATGGAAATGTTAGAATTTTTTTTAAAACCCTACTTCCTCATTTTTACACAGGAGGATACCAGCGATATTCCCGAAAGAAAATTTTGTGGAACAGGACGATAATAAATGTGCACGATTAGGGTCACAAGTGACAGGTCCTTAGGCAAATAATAAATTTTAAAAACCCAAAAAAATCCCCCGGCCCTGATAACTGTAGCAGGGGGGTTTTAAAGGGAAGTAAAAAGAGCTAATCTTTTCAACAAAACCCACAAACTGATGGTGCCGATAATGGAAAAAGGCAAATGTGATACATATTTTCAAAACAGGGAAGGGCCTTGCTTCAAACTAAGCCAATAAGCCTAACCTCCATAGTGGGAAAATTTATGGAATCCATAATTTCCGAGGCAGTTCGTAGCCACCTTGAAAGCAAAAATTTAAACAACGAAACTCAGCATGGTTTTAAAAAAAGGGGGGTTCCTGCCTTACAATTTGTTAAATTTTTTCACAAGGTATTTGAGGGGGAGATCATGGGAATGATTGATATTGTGTACATGGACTTCAGTAAGGGTTTTTACAGGGGCCCACATAGAGACTATTGAGGAAAAATTTAAAGGCCCTGGAATAGGGGGAGAAATTTTTTTCCGGTAGAGGCATGGGTTTTACAAAAGGGAGCAGGAAATTTGCATAAAATGGGGGAAATCAGGGGGGGAAGCGTCACAAGCGGTGTTCCAAGAGGTCAGTTTTGGGGGCCCCGCGTTCAAATATACATAAAGAATAGAGAGGGCATAAAGGCGTCACAAGTTTGGGCCCATGACACCAAAAAGGGCCCTCGAATTTATTCTGACGAGGAATTAGACACTCCAAAGGGTTTGAGAGACTGATGCAGTGGTGGGAGGTGGAGATCAGTTTAAAATTAGACAAATGCAAAGTTCTAAATGTTGGACAGGACAATAACCATGCCACATTAAACAAATAATTAATCTTAATATTACTATTGCGAAAAAGATTTAGGAGTTCCCGGGTTTCAGTAACTGAAAACCTAGACAACAGTGAAAAAAGTGTTCCAATAAAGCTAAAGAACCTTGGCTTTATATCAAGAAGCATAAATAATATGATCCCAGGTTGTTCTTTAACTCTATAATCCTTGGTTGGCCTCATTTTTGATTAGCTGCACAGTTTTTTTGGGCACCGTATTTAAAAATGGATATAATCTCTGGAAAATGTCAAAGGAGGATGACAAAAAATTGATCCCATGTATCAGAAACCCTTTCCCCTTTAGATAGACTAAGGGCCCCGAAAACTTTATCTCAGAAAGACGTAGAATTAGGAGGGATATGATGAGGTGTATAAATGGGGAAAACGAATAAAAAAAGGGGGTGTAAATAGTGTGCTGAAAATATTAGCCTAGACGGACTCGCAGCAATGGTTTTTTAAATTAGAAAAAATCGATTTAGGAAGGTAAGGAAAGTACGGTTTTGGGAATAGATTTTGGATGAGTGGAACAAACCCCAAGTACTTATAAGGCCGAACGTTGTGTAGCTTAAAAATAGGTTGGATAAATACATGAGTGGGTGCGGGTGGGTGGAGTTGGACTGATTAGCTTTGCTACCAGGACGGTTGCCCTTTCCTCCCCTTAAGTCAAGGTGACCTGACCCGACAGGTTGGGTGCATTGGTTAAGCCGGTGGAATTGGGCCGCCTCGGGGATGGGCCAGTAGGCCGCTGCAGTGTTCCTTTGTTCTTATGTTCTTATTTCTTAAAAAAGAAAGAAAACCCCAAAAAGAAATATTTTCATCATCATTCAAACTTTCACCACACCCCACATTATCATGCTTTTGCAAAAGGTGCTCAGAATACACAGTTAGAAGCAATAGTATAAAGATACACAACATTCCCTCCAAACGCCCAAAATCCCAAACCCCCTTTTAAAAGGGGGATTGTACTTTCCCCTTTCCGGGCTCAAGTCCGATATATGAACATAACCGGGTTTCCCCCGAATCCCCTTTACTAAATATTACCCCCGTCACCCCAACAGATCGTCAGGTCCCAAGTATCATTCGCCTCCTTCATCCTATCTAACACCTCATGCACGTTGCTGGAAGTCCAAAACCCCTAGCCCCAAAACCTCCTTACCCCCCTTTCCCAAACCCCTTTGAGGACGACCCCCACCCCTCCTTTATTCCCCCATAATTTATTTGCTTTCCATGTTTCAAATTTGACCATTTTCTCAAAAAGACCAAACCCCCTCAAAAACCCCTCTTTGCCCCCTGACAATGTTTTATTAACTCCCCCCTCCTAATTTCCAATCCGAATTTTCTGCATAATATTTACACCACACATTGTCCTTAGACAGGACATCTCCACTGTCTCCAACCGTCTCCTCGCTGCTTGCATTTACCACCCAAGCTTCACATCCATATAAGAGTGTTGGTACTACTATACTTTCATACATTCCCTTCTTTGCCTCCATAGATAACGTTTTTTGACTCCACATATACCTCAACGCACCACTCACCTTTTTTCCTCATCAATTCTATGATTAACCTCATCCTTCATAAATCCATCCGCCGACACGTCAACTCCCAAGTATCTGAAAACATTCACTTCTTCCATAATCCTCTCCCAATTTGATATCCAATTTTTCTTTATCTAAATCATTTGATACCCTCATCACCTTACTCTTTTCTATGTTCACTTTCAACTTTCTACCTTTACACACATTCTCAAACTCATCCACTAACCTTTGCAATTTTTCTTTAGAATCTCCCATAAGCACAGTATCATCAGCAAAAAAGTAACTGTGTCAATTCCCATTTTGAATTTGATTCCCCATAATTTAATCCCACCCCTCTCCCAAACACCCTAGCATTACTTCTTTTACAACCCCATCTATAAATATATTAAACAACCATGGTGACATTACACATCCCTGTCTAAGACCTACTTTTACCGGGAAGTATTCTCCCTCTCTTCTACACACCCTAACCTGAGCCTCACTATCCTCATAAAAGCTCTTTACAGCATTTAGTAACTTACCACCTATTCCATATACTTGCAACATCTGCCACATTGCTCCTCTATCCACTCTATCATATGCCTTTTCTAAATCCATAAATGCAATAAAAACTTCCATACCTTATCTAAATACTGTTCACATATATGCTTCAATGTAAACACTTGATCTACACATCCCCTACCCACTCTGAAGCCTCCCTGCTCATCCGCAATCCTACATTCTGTCTTACCTCTAATTCTTTCAATTATAACCCTACCTATACTTTTCCTGGTATACTCAGTAAACTTATCTCTATAATTTTTACAATCTCTTTTGTCCCCTTTCCCTTTATATAAAGGGACTATACATGTCTCCGCCAATCCCTAGGTACCTTCCCCTCTTTCATACATTTATTAAACAAAAGTACTAACCACTCCACACTATATCCCCCCCCCTGCTTTTAACATTTCTGTCATGATCTCATCAGTTCCAGCTGCTTTACCCCCTTTCCATTCTACGTAATGCCTCACGTACCTCCACCACACTTACATTCTGCTCTTCTTCACTCCTAAAAGATGGTATACCTCCCTGACCAGTGCATGAAATTACCGCCTCCCTTTCTTCCTCAACATTTAAAAGTTCCTCAAAATATTCTCGCCATCTACCTAATACCTCCTTCCCCATCTACTAACTCCCCTACTCTGTTTTTAACTGACAAATCATACTTTCCCTAGGCTTTCTTAACTTGTTTAACTCACTCCAAATTTTTTCTTCTTTTCATTAAAATTTCTTGACAGTGCCTCTCCCACTCTTTCATCTGCTCTCCTTTTGCACTCTCTCACCACTCTCTTCACCTTTCTTTACTCTCATATACTCTGCTCTTCTTATAACACTTCTGCTTTGTAAAAACCTCTCGTAAGCTACCTTTTTCTCTTTTATCACACCCTTTACTTCATCATTCCACCAATCACTCTCTCTTTCCTCCTGCCCCCACCCTCCTATAACCACAAATTCTGCCCCACATTCTAATACTGCATTTTTAAAATTATCTCCAACCCTCTTCAACCCCCCCACTACTCATCTTTGCACTAGCCCACCTTTCTGCCAATAGTCGCTTATATCTCGCCCGAACTTCCTCCTCCCTTAGTTTATACACTTTCACCTCCCTCTTACTTGTTGTTGCCCTTCCTCTTTTCCCATCTACCTCTTACTCTAACTGTAGCTACAACTAAATAATGATCCGATATATCAGATGCCCCTCTATAATACATGTACATCCTGGAGCCTACCCATCAACCTTTTGTCCACCAATACATAATCTAATAAACTACTTTCATTACGTGCTACATCATACCTTGTATATTTATTTATCCTCTTTTTCAGAAAATTTGTATTACTTATTACCAAATTTCTTTCTGCACATAGCTCAATTAAAGGCTCCCCATTTACATTTACCCCTGGCATCCCAAATTTACCTACTACTCCCTCTATAACATTTTTACCCACTTAGTTGTATCCTACCTAAATTACTTGTATGAACGTAATGGGGTTATGCCGGTGATTTATTTCTCACAGAGCCCTACGCAGAGTCAAACTTTGTTCCAGTCAGTTCTTTTTCTGCAACGTGTGTATTTTCTTGAGTATCATACTTGTCAGCAATACCTACCATACTTGTTGACAATATCTGTCATCCTACACTACCATACTTGTTGACAATGCCTGTCATCCTTCACTACCATACTTGTTGACAATGCCTGTCATCCTACACTACCATACTTGTCAGCAGTACCTACCATCTTACACTACCATACTTGTTGACAATATCTGTCATCCTACACTACCATACTTGTTAACAGTACCTGCCATCCTTACACTACCATACTTGTTGACAATATCTGTCATCCTACACTACCATACTTGTTAACATTACTTGCCATCCTACACTACCATACTTGTTGACAATATTTGTCTTTTTTAACCCCTAGTTGAAAATATCCACCTAAACCCAAAAATTGGTCATCTTCCATCCTAACTACCATACTTGTTGACATATCTGTCATCTTACACTACCATACTTGTTGACAATATCTGTCATCCTATACTGCCATACTTGTTGGCAATACCTGGTATCCTTCATAAACGAAGTAGTTAATGACCATAGTACTTGAGACTCGTCTTGAAGAAGTAACTTGGTAAGTTCCTTAAGTCGGTTCCTCACTAGCCAGACTGGTGTACTTTGAATTGCGTGCAGCTGGCACGCAAGGAGGCTTGTGTGACCATGCCGCGAGGTCAATGACCTCCTGAGTCCTACAGGTACAGGCAAGTCATACCCACAATTCGAAATATTACAGTCTCTGTACTTCATCATTGACAGTTATAAACCTCATACAGCATCCTCTTACCAAAAAATGCTGGGCAAAAACCTTGAAAAATTTAGAGAATCTTTAAGGGGTTAAAGAAAAATCCTCATGATATAAACACGTCAGGTGATTAATACGCTGAAAAAGTTACTTATTTGAGCTCTAAGTAAATTTAGGGAAGTACGTCAGTTATACCTTATATCCAGCCATCTTGGATGAAGGTTGCGAGGCAGAAGACCTGTGACATATACATCCTCCAGCCAGAAAGGTGGACTGGTCCTCTGTCGGTCCAACTGCAGCATGCGGTCCGCTAGCCTCCTGTGGAGCACATAGGCGTAGCCCTGGCAGTAAGGGGGATACACATTAGATGAGTAGTCTTTACGGTCCACCACGTAATGTGGTAAACACCCGGTCGCCGTCACTTCCCGACACACAGACCTGGACGTGGAGCGAGCACATACAGCATCCTTAGAGTCATCCACAGGTTTTAGCACATCCAGTAAGGCCCAGAAGTTGACATAGGAGTCGACATCACATTTCAATATCCAAGTAGCATTGCTGCAAAACGCTCTGAACCAGTATATAGCAGCCAGAGACTTGACGGTTAGGTTTTTCCTAGTCTCCAGAAAATCAAATTGTATAATATCTTTGTATTTATCACTCTCTTCCTGAAGGTGTTTCTGCGTCACTACAGAGGGAACAGCTCCGACTATAAACACAGTCTTCAGTTTAAGCTCTTTGCCTATGCTATCATGCCCCCACATATTTCTGATCATTTCACGATGATAAACTTGAGATGGGTTGGAAATGACGGTGTTTAAAAGATAAACATCATGACCCTTGCACATCTCAGGCTCGTTGATTTTCAAACCGTACGGCCAGCCTGGTATGAAATCAATGTGATCTGTGGTGTCTTCATGTATATCATTACTTTCCGAAGCGAGCGAAGCGGAAGAGTTCTCCCGTTGCTGGGCGTGGCGAGGGTGACGTGCAGGAGCTCGTATTGTAGATCGGAGTGCTAGCAGGAGGGTGAACACAAGTCCCGCTGACATAGTAGTTGTCGCTGCTATCAGCATCCGCCGCGGACTTGATCGACTCCCGACCAACATATCTGTAAAGATTCATACCACGTCAGGTTTAATTGTTACGCGTGCATATACTGCTTAATTTATTCCAGGAGTTGTATCCATAAACTTTAACTTGGTACCGCATAATCTGCAGACGATGTCAGTTTTGACGTCGATTACTTTCTGATAAGCGCAGAAGTAAATGTAAAGGTGAAGGGGTGAGTGCACAGGTGTACGATTCTCTGATCCAACTACTTGGTGGACACGGTTCCCTGATTAACGCGCCTAGTTGTGTTACACGGTCTGTAAGAGATTAATGTGGCTGTACTTTTTTGTGTAGTACTACTATCACTATTACTACTAGTAGTAGAAGTAGTGGTGATAGCAGTAGAAAGATTTACTGTTGTAACGTGTATAAAAGTTATTGTCGCTCTTCTGTTTGCGAAGAAGTTACTGTTGTTCTGTTTGTGAAACACTGTTGTTCTTTTGTGAAGTAGTTACTGTTCTTCTGTTTGTGAAGCAGTTACTGTTGTTCTTTTTGTGAAGCAGTTACTGTTGCTCTTCTGTTGTAAGGTTACTGTTGTTCTGTTTGTAAAGCAGTTACTGTTGTTCTGTCTGTGAAGAAGTTACTGTTGTTCTGTCTGTGAAGAAGTTACTGTTGCTCTTCTGTTTGTGAAGCAGTTATTGTTGTTCTGTTTGATGCATATATGTTCACAGTATACTTATTAAAAACTCAGCTATAAAACCCTTTACTATTTACCTGTATGGAGGTACTGGTACCTCCTCCCATGGTAAACGTAGGTCTCACGACGTTCCCTAGACAGGGAGTCAAGGCCGGGTCACCATCTGGAAAAGACTCGGGCCGGGAGCGTATCGGCGAATCAAGGAGGAGGATGTATAATACATATTTAAGAGAAATATAAAACAAAAGATAAAAAACGGTGTAATCGAGAGTTCAACCCTCCTTCCCGGTAGCCTGGTGGAGTGGCCCGGTGGCCTGGTGGAGTGGCCCGGTGGCCTGGTGGAGTGGCCCGGTGGCCTGGTGGAGTGGCCCGGTGGCCTGGTGGAGTGGCCCGGTGGCCTGGTGGAGTGGCCCGGTGGCCTGGTGGCTAAAGCTCCCGCTTCACACACGGAGGGCCCGGGTTCGATTCCCGGCGGGTGGAAACATTTCGACACGTTTCCTTACACCTGTTGTCCTGTTCACCTAGCAGCAAATAGAGGTACGTGGGTGTTAGTCGACTGGTGTGGGTCGCATCCTGGGGGACAAGATTAAGGACCCCAATGGAAATAAGTTAGACAGTCCTGGGTGGCTAACCCTCCGAGGTTAAAAATCCGAAGGTGGAACTATTTACCTAAATAGTTCTGCCTGAAATCAAAACACAATTTATTTCTGAATAGCATGCACATATGCACGAGACACAAAAACTTACCGGAAGACAAAATACTTTCAAGTTGACGTGCGAAGGATCCTTATGAGAACTGACGAAGTCACCGGAGAAGATAGTCCTTAAAAAACTGAAGAAGTCACAGTGAGGCAAGATCCTTATAAAAACTTCAGACGTCACAGGAGTAGACAAGATCCTTATAAAAACTGCGGACGTCACAAGGGTAAGCAAAATATTTATAAAAACTTCAGACGTCACAGGAAGAGAAGTAGAAGTTAGCGGTGATGAGTCCACACTGGTAGGTGGAGATGGTTAGTAGTCTCCCTCACGAGTCACTCTCCTTCACACCACTGACGGTGCTGATGACCTGAAGGTAGCGGTTTCCTGACGGTAATTCTCACTGGATGGTTGCCGATCATCGTGCCAAGTTTGCTGAAACCAGCAAGGGCGGTGCTGAGATTTTGCATGTCAGGGGAAATAGGAATATTTCTCCTGACATGAGTTTTAGACATATGGAGATTTTGGTTATTTGAATTAGGTGTTCCACCTAATTCAAGTAACACTGTAGTTTTTCTGAATAAAAATCGAAAGCAGATCGACACTAAATTTTGAGGTATTTACTTATGAGGTATTTACTTAACCGGGATTAAAATAAACTCTGAGCATATATACACTGAGAGGCGTCCATCTCTCGTTGTATATATCCCGTATGAACATAAGTATTTAAATTTCCCTTCCATGCTGTGCATACTATGGGCATACAAATTCTTGTGTATTTTTGTATAATTATTTGAAATACTAAATTATTATTTTGTTATTATTATTATAAATTCAAACACTGTTGTTTGTAAAGCATGTGTAAAATACACCACTGTATTTTTTATATAATAAATTTGTACTCATGATTTAATTTTTTTAGCAGTTTAACATGCTAAATATGTAATTAAATACTGTTAAAGTTATGGGGGGAAGCGCTTAACCCATAAATATCATACAGCGTCTGGGGAATGGGAAGTCAGGATTGATCCCAAGAAGGGGATTATTGTAGATGAATGGTTCAGAGAACCGACACGTTGATAAATTAGACACATGTGCAACTCTTGGGTATGTCAGGTAAGACACATATGCAACAGTTAGGTATCTTTATTTCGAAACGTTTCGCCTACACAGTAGGCTTCTTTAGTCGAGTACAGAAAAGTTGATAGAAGCAGAAGAGACTTGAAGACGATGTAATCAGTCCATCACCCTTAAAGTTTTGAGGTGGTCAGTCCCTCAGTCTGGAGAAGAGCATTGTTCCATAGTCTGAAACAATATGGAGTTGAAGTGACAGGATGGAGCCTTATATAGCGCCAGGAGGTGAGACGAAGGTCACTAGTAGAAGTAAGAACGCAGATGTTGGGAGGTCAGGTCCCTCTCAAATCCAGCCGTTCTCACTAGTAGAGGTTGTCGAAGTTGATTGAATGTTCAACTCTTGGGTATCTTTATTGAGGAAACGTTTCGCCACACAGTGGCTTCATCAGTCCATACAAAGGAGAAACTTGAAGAAAGGGAGGAGAATGAGGCAATCAGTCCCTCAACCTTGAGTCGATGTGGTCAGTCCATCAATCTTGAATAAAATACAAGATTGATGGACTGACCACATCGACTCAAGGTTGAGGGACTGATTACCTCATTCTCCTCCTGTTCTTCAAGTTTCTCCTTTGTATGGACTGATGAAGCCACTGTGTGGCGAAACGTTTCCTCAGTAAAGATACCCAAGAGTTGCACATGTGTCTAATTTATCAAGGGGATTATTACTTTCATGGGAAAGTGCTAAACCCGTATGGGTCACAGCGCCTTGGGAAGTGATAGCAATCAGGTTCGATCCAAGGCAGAATAGGTTATCTTAAATTCCTTGGATTAAAAACTCTTCACTGACACAAAGGCATTTTCCCCTTCCCCTCGTGAAGGGCCCAGGAAGGGGAGAGGAGCCCCATTATGAGCCCTTCACCAGCATTAACCCCTCCCTCATCCATGGAGGGGTAAGGAATGGAAAAAGAGTTCTTCTAAGAGCCCTTCATCAGGAAGTTCCAATAAGATCCCTACAGCAGGAAGTTCCAATAAGAGCCCTTCACCAGGAAGTTCCAATAAGAGCCCTTCACCAGGAAGTTCCAATAAGAGCCCTTCACAAGGAAGTTCCAATAAGAGACCTTCAGGAAGTTCCAATAAAAGCCCTTCACCAGGAAGTTCCAATAAGAGCCCTTCAGGAGGTTCCAGTAAGCCGTTCAGGAAGTTCCAATATGAGCCCTTCAGGAAGTTCCAATAAGAGCCCTTCACCAGGAAGTTCCAATAAGAGCCCTTCACCAGGAAGTTCCAATAAGAGCTCTTCACCAGGAAGTTCCAATAAGAGCCCTTCACCAGGAAGTTCCAATAAGAGCCCTTCAGGAGGTTCCAGTAAGAGCCCTTCAGGAAGTTCCAATAAGAGTCCTTTACCAGGAAGTTCCAATAAGAGCCCTTCACCAGGAAGTTCCAATAAGAGTCCTTCAGGAAGTTCCAATTAGATACCTTCACCAGGAAGTTTCAGTAAGAGACCTTCAGGAAGTTCCAGTAAGAGTCCTTTACTAGGAAGTTCCAATAAGAGCCCTTCACCAGGAAGTTCCAATAAGAGACCTTCAGGAAGTTCCAGTAAGAACCCTTCACCAGGAAGTTCCAATAAGAGCCCTTCACCAGGAAGTTCCAATAAGAGCCCTTCAGGAGGTTCCAGTAAGAGCCCTTCAGGAAGTTCCAATAAGAGCCCTTCACCAGAAAGTTCCAATAAGAGCCCGGTGGTCTGGTGGCTAAAACTCCCGCTTCACACACGGAGGGCCCAGGTTCGATTCCCGGCGGGTGGAAATTCCGACACGTTTCCTTACACCTATTGTCCTGTTCACCTAGCAGCAAATAGGTACCTGGGTGTTAGTCGACTGGTGTGGGTCGCATCCTGGGGGACAAGATTAAGGACCCCAATGGAAATAAGTTAGATAGTCCTCGATGACGCATTGACTTTCTTGGGTTATCCTGGGTGGCTAACCCTCCGGGGTTAAAAATCCGAGCGAAATCTTATCTTATCTTCACCAGGAAGTTCCAATAAGAACCCTTCACCAGGAAGTTACAATAAGAGACCTTCAGGAAGTTCCAGTAAGAGCCCTTTACCAGGAAGTTCCAATAAGAGCCCTTCACCAGGAAGTTCCAATAAGAGCCCTTCACCAGAAAGTTCCAGTAAGAGCCCTTTACCAAGAAGTTCCAATAAGAGCCCTTTACCAGGAAGTTCCAATAAGAGACCTTCAGGAAGTTCCAGTAAGAGCCCTTCACCAGGAAGTTTCAATAAGAGCCCTTCACCAGGAAGTTCCAATAAGAGACCTTCAGGAAGTTCCAGTAAGAACCCTTCACCAGGAAGTTCCAACAAGAGCCCTTCACCAGGAAGTTCCAATAAGAGCCCTTCACCAGGAAGTTCCAATAAGAGCCCTTCAGGAGGTTCCAGTAAGAGCCCTTCAGGAAGTTCCAATAAGAGCCCTTCACCAGAAAGTTCCAATAAGAGCCCGGTGGTCTGGTGGCTAAAACTCCCGCTTCACACACGGAGGGCCCAGGTTCGATTCCCGGCGGGTGGAAAATCCGACACGTTTCCTTACACCTATTGTCCTGTTCACCTAGCAGCAAATAGGTACCTGGGTGTTAGTCGACTGGTGTGGGTCGCATCCTGGGGGACAAGATTAAGGACCCCAATGGAAATAAGTTAGATAGTCCTCGATGACATGACGCATTGACTTTCTTGGGTTATCCTGGGTGGCTAACCCTCCGGGGTTAAAAATCCGAACGAAATCTTATCTTATCTTCACCAGGAAGTTCCAGTAAGAGCTCTTCACCAGGAAGTTCCAATAAGAGCCCTTCACCAGAAAGTTCCAGTAAGAGCCCTTTACCAAGAAGTTCCAATAAGAGCCCTTTACCAGGAAGTTCCAATAAGAGCCCTTCAGGAAGTTCCAGTAAGAGCCCTTCACCAGGAAGTTTCAATAAGAGCCCTTCACCAGGAAGTTCCAATAAGAGACCTTCAGGAAGTTCCAATAAGAGCCCTTCACCAGGAAGTTCCAATAAGAGCGCTTCAGGAGGTTCCAGTAAGCCCTTCAGGAAGTTCCAATATGAGCCCTTCCTTCAGGAAGTTCCAATAAGAGCCCTTCACCAGGAAGTTCCAATAAGAGCCCTTCACCAGGAAGTTCCAATAGCCCTTCACCAGGAAGTTCTAATAAGAGCCCTTCACCAGGAAGTTCCAATAAGAGCCCTTCACCAGGAAGTTCCAATAAGAGCCCTTCACCAGGAAGTTCCAATAAGAGCCCTTCACCAGGAAGTTCCAATAAGAGCCCTTCAGGAGGTTCCAGTAAGAGCCCTTCAGGAAGTTCCAATAAGAGCCCTTCAGGAAGTTTCAATAAGAGCCCTTCAGGATGTTCTAATAAGAGCCCTTCACCAGGAAGTTCCAATAAGGGCCATTCACCAGGAAGTTCCAATAAGGGCCCTTCACCAGGAAGTTCCAGTAAGAGCCCTTCACCAGAAAGCTCCAATAAGAGCCCTTCACCAGGAAGTTCCAATAAGAGCCCTTCACCAGAAAGCTCCAATAAGAGCCCTTCACCAGGAAGTTCCAATAAGAGCCCTTCACCAGCATTAAATCGCTTTCTCATCCAGGAAGGGAAAAGGAGCACTATTAACATATATTTTTATAGCCTGCACAATGGAAATAAAACTTTAGTTAACCTTCGAGTTGTCTTTTCAGTTAAAGAAAACGATAAATGCTAAAGGGTAAACTTTTATTGAGGACAGTTTACAAATATTTTAGAAACAATTTATAATATGTACTATACATTTCGGCTTTATACGTAGGCTTTATGTTTGTGTAATTGAAATATGTATTTTAATTCAAGAAAGTTGCTGTATTTGAGTTTAAAGAGGATGAGGTATTTTTAACAATAATAATGGTAGAAACGTTGAGTACGTTTCCTTGCACCTTCTGTCCCTGCTCACTTAGCATTAAGTAGGTACCTGGGTGTTAGCTGATTGGTGTGGGTCGCATCCTGGGGGAAAAGATTGAAGGACCACAATGATAATAAGACAACCAGTCCTCGATGACGCACTGACTTTCTTGAGTTATCCTGGGTGGCTAATCCTCCGGGTTAAAAATCCGAATAAATCTTATCTTACGCCGAAAGGTGTACATGAAAAGGTTACGTGCAGCCTTAATGACCATAGTGTAGGTTTTAAACCCTTTTAACCAATCAACCCGGCAACATTGGTCTACGGCAAAAATGCCTCGAAAATGCAACGAGCCCTTTGCAAATT